ACTCCGACGTTCACGATCGATATGCCTTTAACGGTTTGATATTCCCTTCGGACTTATTCTACCTCCGATTATCAGCTTCATAACCATATGCTCCGTCCTTACGATTGACAGTTCCACATGGTTCATAGTTCCGATAACTCCTTATTCCACATGGTCCATAGTTCCGATAACTCCCTATCGATACGAGCTCCGAACCGTGCCTCCGCGTATATAAACTCCTAGCTCCTGTACTCTAACTCCTTAGTTCGAATATCGACTAAGTTACTCCTCTGCTCCGACACGGACTTAGAGCGCGTAGCGACTCAAGCCTTAAAGCTTGAGTCTGGTCCGTACTCGCACTCACTCTCTGTATCTCGAAACTCTGCTCCGACTTTCTCCGACTTTCTCCGACTCTCTTCCGACTCGACTCCGACAATCATCTCGCTAGGTCCGGACGTCACACCTCCGGCGTCGGACTTAGCTCCGTCTCGATCTTGACACTTGTGCAACAGCGTCTCCACTGCCGTCCTGGGGGATCCGCGCCGCTCCTAGGAGCTCCAGCGCGTACTCTGACACAGCCGGCCTTACTTTTTTCTCATCGACAGCCACTGCTTATGGCATGCCTCCAGCCGGGTCACCACTTCGCTCATTGTCGCTCTGCCGGATCGAGAGACCAGCAGTCTGTCATGAGCCCGTGTAATTCTTTGCTCATGCCGTGCACTACCACATTGGGATCTGTAGGCTGCTCAGGGAACGTTTGGTCGGGGTTTGGGTAGATGAATGCCTGCACGACGACGTGCATGGCCTTTCCTGTGATGATCTATCGATCAAGCCCGTTAAGTGTATCATCGCGACTCATTAAATATGGCTGAATCGATCAGGACCTACCTGCCATATTACAAACACAAATGACCAGACGTCCAAGGGTTTCCCGCACATCAGACTAGGAATCACCGGACTCTGAGTGGACAGCCCCAGGCTCTCCGGCAGACTCTCCGGTGCAGCAAGTCTACCGGATGTGAGGGTGGTCAGTAAGTCTAGGCATAGAAATACCGAGCGGCGTACAGTGGGTAGCACTGCGGAAAGGAGAAGCTGCTGCAGTCCATAATATCACTTCCTTTGCTGACAAACTAGTGCAGGTACACTGTCAGCCTGTCGGAAGAACATGCACACAGAGTTTAAACTTACCTGTGCATCCATGAACCCCGTGATCACTACTTTTGATGAGACACCTTCATGCAGGACAATGAAAGAAGACTAGAGCTCCAGGTGTTAGCCTAAGCATTGAGAATTGGACGAATTACAGCACTGTTTTAATGGCCCCGTGCACTATGTGCATGTCATGCAAGGAATTCAGGCAGTGAGCTATTTTGGTGAGCCAATAAGAAGCAAAAGTCAGTCATGTCCTTTGATCAATCGTTGACCTGCATACATACAAGCATAAGGCAGTCAATGTCAGGGTGCCTTTCAATGTACTGTAGTTTTACGACCTTAGGTTCGGTCCGCCTCCCGAGGGACAGGGGTCAGCTGCAAGTTCGGGGCCATGGGAAGTTTGCAAACTGACCAGAGTCCGTTAAAATTATTCACACAGTAAGAAATTATATTCTCACGATCAGTTCAGGCCCTGGATTTTGGCGGGGGACAGGGGACAACACGGGAAATTAGGTTCAGTTCGGGCTGCCAGGGGACAGGGGACGAACCCAAGGTCGTAAAACTACAGTATTGATGTGCATTACCCACCCCCAACGGGGTAATGCAGTAGCTACATAGGATACCCGCAAGACATCAAGTTCGGGGAAGGTCTTCTTGCGGGCGGTATAGATGTAAGGTTGTACAACAATGCTGTAGAGCATGATACGAAGGGAAGTGAGCTATATCAGAGTGGAGAGAGAAGACAATGAACGAGCTCGGGTGAAAGAAGTCGGCGAGCGATGGGTCACGTGGTTCTAGTTATGGAGCCTGCCCTGAAGAGCTCCGTGCAAATCTCTGCAGCACGGCAGCCTCATTGCTGCCATCCTCTCTTTCTTCCTCCTCCTCACCCCTCACCACCCTCTCCAAGATGCCATCTACAAAGACTTTCCTAGATCCGTCAATTGCCGCGGCCCACCTCAAAAGTTACTCGTCCTACGATGGACTTTCCGCGGCGGACCTCATGAACAGCCGTACGCACGGCGGGCTCACTTACAACGATTTCCTCGTCCTTCCCGGAAAGATCGATTTTGCTGCGTCGGAGGTCACCGCCGAGAGCAGAATTACGCGGAATGTCACGCTGAAGACGCCCTTCATGAGTAGTCCAATGGACACGGTCACGGAAGCCGACATGGCGATTCATATGGCTGTACGTGTACCTCGTACCACTGTATCCGAATTCTCAGACGCCAGATGAGATACTCATGGAGGGACGGATAGCTTCTTGGCGGTATTGGTGTCATTCACCACAATCAGCCCGCGGAAGCCCAAGCGGACATGGTCCGCCGTGTCAAGCGTCACGAGAACGGTTTCATCACGGAACCTGTGGTGCTCTCTCCCAATCATACCGTTGAAGACGTCCTGGACATCAAGGAGCGACTCGGTTTCAGTGGTATCCCGATCACTGGTACGTATCGTTCTCTTTTCGAGGTCGTGTGATGAGACTCTACACCATAACCTTCGTCCTTCCGAGCAACGCTCTATGAGTGTGATTTGCGGAGATCCTTATTTAATGGCTTTTCTGACGCCTCTACGTCGTAATATCTGATTTGCAAGATTGCTGATTAACGTCCTCCGCAGACACTGGCGCCGCAGGTGGTACGCTCGTCGGTATTGTTACCAACCGCGACGTCCAGTTCCAGCCCGCCTCTACGCCCCTCTCCTCCGTCATGACCACCGACCTTGTCACCGCCCCGCTCGGTGTCACCCTACCCGAAGCCAACGCCATCCTGCGCGACTCCAAAAAGGGCAAGCTCCCCATCGTTGACGCCCACGGCAAACTGTGCTCGCTCGTCGCGCGCTCCGATTTGCTCAAGAACAAGGCGTACCCGCTCGCGTCTAAGCTGCCAAGTTCCAAGCAGCTCTACGCCGCGGCTGCTGTTGGCACCCGCCCCGCCGATCGCCTCCGGCTGCAGCTCCTCGTCGACGCGGGGCTGGACATCGTCGTGCTCGACTCGTCGCAGGGCAACTCGGTCTTCCAGATTGACATGATTAAGTGGATTAAAGCGACGTTCCCCGGCCTGGAGATCATCGCAGGCAACGTTGTGACGCGGGAGCAGGCGGCGAGCTTAATCGAAGCTGGCGCCGATGCGTTGAGGGTGGGAATGGGCAGCGGTAGCATCTGCATCACACAGGAGGTGATGGCGGTGGGCAGGCCGCAGGCGACCGCAGTGTACCAGGTCGCCGAGTTCGCCTCCCACTTCGGCGTCCCCGTCATCGCAGACGGCGGTATCTCCAACGTTGGGCACATCGTTAAGGCTCTTGCTCTCGGTGCGGGTGCCGTCATGATGGGCGGATTGCTTGCGGGTACCACAGAAGCGCCCGGGGAGTATTTCTACCACGAGGGCAAGCGCGTCAAGGCGTACCGCGGCATGGGCAGTCTTGAAGCCATGGAGCAGGGCAAGCCCGGGCCGAATGGCGCGGCGTCGAAGGGCGACGCGGTCAAGAACGCCGGGAGCAGCAAGGCGAAGAACACGACGCACGAGAACGCGGCGACGTCGCGATACTTCTCCGAGTCGAGTGCAGTGAAGGTTGCGCAGGGTGTGTCGGGTGACGTGCAGGACAAGGGCTCGGTCACCGCGTTCTTGCCTTACCTGTACACCGGTACGCTCTCTTGGTGGTCGTTGTGGTCTCAATGCTCACACCTACTTTAAAGGTGTCCAGCACTCGCTCCAAGACATCGGTGTGCGCTCAGTCGAGGAGCTTCAAACCGGTGTTCGCGAGGGCAAGGTCAGGTTCGAGATGCGAACCGCCAGCGCGCAAGTGGAGGGTGGTGTGCATGGTCTCAACTCGTACGTTCTCCTCGTGGTTGCGCATTCGACATCTATGTTGACCCTACGTTTGCCAGGTACACCAAGCGTCTGTATGCTTGAGGCATTGTATTAGCTTTGGTCCGTGTGGGAGGAGGTCCGGTCATTTGTCCCTATACATGCAGTATGCACTGACTTCTCTGGGGCAGGAAAACAAGCTTACAGGCTTGATCTGTTGTGTTCATCTATTGATCTACGGGGTTTCGAGCATCTTTTCATTGTATCCATAATCATCACTCTATCCATCATCCATTGATTAGACTTTTTCATCGCACGCTCGCTTCTATGGTATCATCGATGTCCATCCAGGAATGCCCTCACGGCCATTAAGGTGTGCTTCTCTGCATCTTCATCCAGCACTAGATGCCGCAACTACAGGCTATTGCTCCGTGAGGCGTACCGGGAGAAGACCACAATCTGTACTATTCGACGTCATATCGAAACCGTCTGCCCATCCCGGAAAATAGTCTGGTAAACTTCGCCATGTAAGTATGGTTCACATGACGACTACCGCCAATGCAAGCATTCTCGTTCCTTCATCCTGAAGCCACGTGGTGGGCTCCTCTAAGGCGAAGAGGTGGTCACTCGCATCAATCTCGCATCCAGTCTCTGGATTCGGCTACAGACAATCTCCGAGCATACTACGACTATGAGATCACTCTGAGACTCGTTTCGCAGCCGAGAGTCTTTGCATCCGAAGATCCGTCGTCCGCATACCCATGACGACGCGGCAAGATTCCCTTCGGACGGCGGGGAGCCCTTGGCTGCAATACAAAAGCCTGTCTGGATTGCGCGAGACGGTCACCAGTGGGGTGCCTAGTTGCTCTTCTCGTTCAGACCGTCCGACCCTAACACAATGAAGGCTCCTACTGCTCTCACGTCCGCCGCTATCCTGGCCGGCTCGGCGTCTGCACACTCCATCTTCCAGGTTGGTCCCCTTCATCCATAGTTATTCGTGCAGAATGCTGACGGATTCGATGTTGCGCAGGAAATGTGGGTGAACGGCGTGGATGCGGGGTACCTGACAGGTATTCGTGCTCCCGACTACGACGGCGTGAGTCCAAACTTCCTTACTTATGACGTTTTCTCACTGCATCGGTTTCAGCCTATCACAGATGTCACATCGAACGATGTTATTTGCAATGGTGGTATTAACCCCTACCACACTCCCATCTCCACCGCCATTGTCAACGTCCCCGCCGGTGCTACCGTCACCACGCAATGGCATCACACTCTGAACCAAGTGGCGAACGACCCCGCTGACCCCATTGACGCGTCGCACAAAGGACCCGTCATGACATACCTGTACGTTTCCTTCTCGTTCTTGGTACCACGCTCACATCCCCGTCAGAGCCAAGGTTGAGAACGCGACTTCGCTCGAAGTCACCGGCCTCAAGTGGTTCAAGATTCAAGAGGACGGTCTGCAGGTGTCCGACCAGACGTGGGGCGTCGACCGCTTGATCGCCAACAAGGGGCAGGTGAACGTCAAGATCCCGAGCTGCATCCCGGCCGGCCAGTACCTCATGCGTCACGAGCTCATCGGTAAGGCACACCGCTCTCGTTCACCCCTTTGTTTACCAACTGATCGCATTATCAGCTCTGCACGCGGCCAGTAGCCCGGGTGGCGCGCAACTGTACATGGAATGCGCTCAGCTCCAGATTACGGGCGGCGGCAGCACCAATCCCTCCCCGACGGTTGCGTTCCCCGGTGCATACAGCGGTAATGTTTCGACACCCCGCCCTGTGATGTCTTCCCTGCTCATGCAGCTCCTCGCGCAGCTACCGACCCGGGCATACTCATCAACATCTACCAGACGCTGTCGAACTACACCATTCCAGGTACGCCTCTTTTGCCTTATCTAGACGGTTTTATCTGACATCAGTGATCGCAGGCCCTGCCGTCTTCACTTGCTAAAAGCTGGTAGTCGTTGCTACGATGTTTCTTCGTTCATGCATCTATGAGCATACAAACTTGCATACGAAGAAGAATTGGGTGGGCTGAGCGTTCGCGACCGTAATCTGGCAGAGCTACTCAAGGCTGATCCTTGGTCGCTCTTGTTGCATACTTCGGTGGGCTAGGCTCTATCATGTTCGCTGCGTTCTGAACTGCGCGGAGATCTTAGCGGAGTATGAATAGATCCTCTGACTCAAACTTGACCAAATGCGATTGCATCTTGTATCCCTTCGCTGACGATCGTCAGCGTTTCAGAGTCCAATCACTCGGACCCCCACAGACGGGGTTCGTGTAGGATGGTCGCTGCCAAGGATCAGGCTGATCGCCACCGCAACTCTCCATAACAGAAAACCTTCAGGGTGGACACGCATATAGGCCGGCACCCTAGGGTATGGAGAACCTCGCCAAAGATGCGAATATGCACTTCCCGCGCATGCTCGGGGGCCTGCACCGGCTCACCCGCCTCACGCTTACGGACATGACGCTCGGGAAGCACCCGTAGATTTTCCCGGAGGACCCCGAGTTCGGGCCAAGCCCGACGAAGCAGGACAGCGCTTGACCCGGCAGAGGGGGTCGGTGGTGTGGAAGCCGAAGGGCACGGGGTCGAAGGGCGGGGCAAGCGGTCGGCCCGCGACGTACGTGGTGAAGTGTCTTTGTTTGTAACCCGTCATCCTTCCTTACTCTCCGTTTTTAATCTCTCGGGACAGTGGGCCATTTATTCCATCGAGCGATATCGCGGCGATCTGGGGCGACATGCTCGAGTGCCGTTCGCGCCTCACGACTCGTTCGAAGTGTCAAGCGAGGATTCGCGCAAGGTGTTTGGACGCCGCGCTCCCCGCCGGTCTGCACAAGCTGACTACTTACCCACTCTGGCCACTCACGGAACTCGCGGAATGGGCGTGCGCGCCACGCTCGTCGCTCGTTTCCGGCCGGGCTGGAAACGGCTCAAGACGCTCTCGCTGGACACGTGGGTCGTGCCGAGGGACGCACAGCTTGAAGACATGGCCTGGGTCGTGGACACGATGAGCAACGCGAACCTCGTTAGAACGGAGCGTGGAACGGGCGGTGCAGTGCAGGCGGCGTTTCCTGAGAGCTTTTTCCGGGGAGGATTATGAGGGGGACTCGGCGAGCGACGTTGAGGTGTCGAGATATCTGAAGGAGCGAGAGGCTCGGCCGTGGTGGGCGACTGGCACCTACATGTCAATCTAACCGAGATAGGGATTAAAGGTGCATGATGATCTGGTTTCTGTCTGGCAGCACAGTTTTTCTTGGACAGTAGTGCCTCTGAGATGATATTAACCATAGGGAGTACTATAATGGAGATAGATGGGTATACAAGAGGTATATTGCAGGCAGAGCCTAGGGCTAGGTGCATCTGTGATTTCAACTGGAGCCCAGGTGGCGGATTCCGAGCGTGACAGCCCTGAGAGTTGCTCATCACCGGACGAAGTTTTCTTTGCGGTATTCAGTGTTAGGGCCGTTGTAGCTGTTTTCTGCATCTTTCTCACCTTGTCGCTGGTCAAGCAAGGGCCACTTCCGAGTGCTAGTAAGTGCCACGGCTCTCCGGTGTCATGTCAAGGTGAAAGCGGTCTCCTTCCTTGTGGTGGGGGTGAGCAAAGAATACATGCAACCCGGATAGGTCTTTATATACGACAAATGAGGTGATGCGATCAATCACCATGGTGATATGTTGGCATGGAATGTCGTGGAAGGATCAGATAAGGTGATCTTCCCTCCCAGGGTTGAGGGTTATCCATTTTTGCCCACTGGCACCCATGTGTAGAACTCAGTTGAGTGGTGAGGCTGCAGCATGGGGCCCTGGCAGGTACGGTATAAAAGGGGTCATGTTCATAACATACGCAATTCCCACGCTCAGGTCCCGCGGTCAGGGACACCCCTTGATAAACTTTGCACCGATCGTTGGGCTTCATCCTGGACGCATGGCCTCTTCAGCAACCCCTAATGAAATTATAGACTTGACTGACCCTCCCAACTCGCCCTCCCCGCCGTCGCCGCCCCCGTCGGCCTCGTTGCCGCCGCCTGGCGAGATCAGCGCCCCCAAAGCGGAGACAGAAGCAGAAGCGGCCATGGATGTGGTCGCGGGCGCCAACCTGGACGCGCTGGCGGAGTACCGCAGACAAGCCGTCAGGCAGCTGCCCTCCCCGATCTCGCCCAATCTCTTCCATCGGAGTGGCGGCGTGGCCTCGGGCTCGACTCATTCGCGCACGACGCCGAGCGTGCACAACCACAACGTTGGGAACGCGAGCGCCGTGGACGAGTCGGCCCAGCGCCCCTCTTCCACGCACGGTCAGAGTCCGCTCGCATTCCAGCAGGGAAACGCGAGTGCGAACATGCATTTGCGCCCGACGTCCGCACAGTTGCGCGAGCTGGCGGGGCGGCTGGAGGTGACGGCGCACGGCCTCGCGTCGTCCTCACAGTCGCCGGCGAACACGCCGAATGCTGGGGGCCACTTGCGCCCCGATGTCCTCAAACACCAGATGGAAAAGATGGCGATGGCGGGGAGGCAGCTTGCCCCGTCAACGTCTGCGCCTTCTTCTCAGCGGCCCGAGCCGGGGCCTGTCCTTAGCCCAAACGTGCTGCCGCTTACGAACGCGTCGCGTACTAGGACCCAGACGCATCCACAGCACCAGCAGCACACCGCAATCCAAGGCGTACCCTATTCGAGCCAGCAGAGTGCGTTCTGGCCTATGCAAGTTGGGTATCCACCCGTGTCACCTCCATATCCTCCTCCCCATCATGTGCCCGCCGCCCCTTCTGCGAGCTTGCCCCATCATCAAACTCAATACATCGGCCAGCAGCAGGCCCAACACGCCGGTCAGCTTGTTCGGTATCCCGATGCCAGACAACAGCCGGTCCGACCGACGGCACCACAGCATTCCTCCGCGTGCGCACCCACCTATGCCCCACATCAGCAGCAAGCATTTAGTCAAACTCATGCACATCCACGACAACAACATCCACAACAACAACAACAACAACAACAGAGTCAAGCTCCCCAGCATAGTCTTCTTCCAGCATCGTACCCGAACCGGCACGCATCCTCGGTTCCTCCAACTACAGCCTCCAGCACCAATGGCCCTGCCCCGTCCAGCTCCCCCTATCAAGCTTTCGTCGCCTCCTCCAGCGCATCCACCCTCGCTACGGTGCCCAGCTCTTCATCCCAACAATCCCTCGCCTCGCAGCACACACGCAGCTCGTCCTCACACCAAACCGCCACCCTCGGCACCCCCGCCCAGCCCACTCCCGCGCAGGCCCACGTGCAGTCCATCACCACCCCCCTGCGCGACGCGATGGTCGCCCACTTCGACACCACCCTCAACGCCGTCCGCTCCGCGCTCGCGGCCGCCTTCACGGACCAGTGGGCGAGGGCGCTCGAGATCCTGCACGCCGAGGTCGCGCGCGGGCGCGCGCAGTTCGACGCCGCCGCGGCGCAGCGGGACCACGCGCTCGCGCGGTGCCGGCAGACGGCGGCCAGGGCGCGCGCGCTCGAGGGCGAGCGGGAGGTGGCGAAGGCGGCGGCGGCGCAGCTGCGCGAGGACCTCGCGGCGGCCCGGCGCGAGGGCGCGCGCGCGCGGGAGGCGGAGGAGCGCGCGGTGAAGGCCCTCGGGGAGGCGACGGACCATAATCGGATATTGGTGAGCGGGACGAGGACGATCTTGGAGGAGAACGCGCGGTTGAAGGCGGCGCTCGGCGCGCGCGCGCAGGGTCAGGCGGGGGCGGAGCCGCCGCAGGGCGAGCCGCCGAAGCCGGCGGCGTACCCGACGGAGCTGCTGGAGACGTTCAAGAAGACGGTGACGGCCGAGATGGAGCTCAAGGTCGCAAGCGGTGCGTTCCCCCTTCCCCCCCCTCTCCCGTCCATCCCGTCGTCTGCGTTGGGGGCGTGTTGCTGATGTGGGAAGCATTCTACCAGTTCTGAAAGAGGCGCAGAAGGATCGGGCCGCGCGACTGGCTGCGGAATCCAAGGCGGCCAACCTCGCTTCGCTGTTGAATGCCGTAGGTCGATTCAGCGCGAAACCCCCCGGATCATATCTCTGATACAGCACCTTTCGTCAGCTTCGCGCAACGACGGAGCAGCACATGGCCGATGGACCCTCCTCGACGTCGGCCGCTGAGGGCGCAGGTGCGGCCGAGACCTCTGCCGACCCGCCTGCCTCCACAAATATCGTTACGGACACCGCAGTTGGATCCTCGTCAAAGACGCCTGTACCAGATCCCTCGCAAGCGAAAGAGGCGGGCGCACTTCGGTCGCCGTCCACAACCTCACCCGTCCACGACACCGGAGGGCCCGCCCCGAGTATCTCGCTCGACCTCCCCGATATCATCGACCTCACCAGTTCCCCGCCGGAATTCAACTGGTTCGCCCTGGGAAAAGCGCTCGAGGCGCAGGACGGGCCGACGGCGGTGCGGCCGAAGATCGAGCCCGAAGACGACGCGGCGGTGCTAGACCTGATCGGGCACCGCCCGTCGCGGTCTCCGTCGGGTTCGCCGCCGCCGAGAAAGCGAAAGCGGACGGAGGACGGGGAGGAGGCGTCTGGGTCGTCGAGGACGTTGACGCCGAGCGTGGCAGCTCCCGCGTGGACGGCGATAGCCGAGGAGGAGGAGGAGGAGGAAGAGAAACCGGGGCGGGCGTCGCCGGTCGGGGAGGACGAGTTGATGTCGGACGCGTCGTCTGCGTACGTGTCCGAGGGGCAGGTGGTGGAGACCGGAATCATGTCTAGCCCGGTACTGCGCGGTCGCCCGGCGGACGCGCTGATGTGGGATCTCAGCGTCAAGAACGAGGAAGATCTGGAGATGGACCAGTTAGGGGAAGACGACTCGGCCGATCCGCCTACGCAGAGTTCGCCACCTTTGCCGCAAGCTCGTTTGGCTAGTTCCCACCCTCAGCCTCAACCTCAAGCGACCTCTCAGCCGCCTAGCCCTCAGCCTGATCATCAAGCTCGGTCCAAACTCACTACTCCTCAGCCAACTTCTCCAGCACAATCCCAGTCTGCTGGCCCTCAGCCTGATCCTCCAGTCCAATCACAGCTCCCTGTTGCTGGACCTATCCCTGATCTTTTCCCTCAGTTGCAATCCCGGGGCTCTGGGCCACAGTCTGAGCGTCCAGCCCACACCCAGCAGGACGGGACGCACACGGAGCCCAAGCAGGAGGCGAACGAGCTGTCCATCATTCCGCGAGGCATCAAGCTGAGCATCGCGCACATTCCCATCCTGTATCACACTCAGAACAAGACCATGTTCTGTCGCATGTGCATGTAAGCCGATCGGCCGACTCACTCAATATCATCCTCGTAACTGAACGTCGCTTTCGTAGGAATTTGCACGAGCAGGTTCCGGATGTGGTGGTGGCCAAGTTTCCGCAAAACGCGTCCTGGTCCGCGCTCATGGAGCACTGCGAGAAGGAGCACTGGGAAGTGTGCACGAAGCTGGCTGAAATACCTAAACATGAGCTCGCGAAAATGACGCTCGACCTCAACGCTCGAAGCGGCACTTAAAAAACGTGGTTTGTCGACCGTTACCAGATTTTACATTAGTACATGATAATAGTGGTACTGCTCTCGTTGCTACACTCCTGCTTCTTTCCGATGTTGTCATGTCGCTCGCCCGTAAACTTATATGTCGCCTTCTTTTACATATGCATCAGTATGGCATGGTAGTCGCCTTCCTTCAGTGTGAGATCATCGGACTGCATTTCGTCCACGTTCTTCCCCGTCTCCGCCGGGCCTTTTTGCCAGAACGCCCGCGGAGTTGGACAGACAAATTGCCGTGTCGCGTTCTCATGCATCTGATTTCCGGAAGGACTCGATTGGGGCGGCGCTTCCCGACGACCGCGCGTGCAGTGCAGACTCACGTGATAGAATTCGAAATTGATTTTGACGCCTCTGGGCTGCCCTCTCGATCATCATCATGGATCATCAACTCCTCCCGTTCTTCTTGAAAGACCTGGTATCGTGCCGTACGATTATCAGTCAAAAACGGACTGAAAGGGATGGCGGAAACGGGCCACAAGCGCAACTGGCACGCGCCGTCTCGACTAGGCCTTTCTCGGCTGCTGGGGTCGTTATGTAATGTTTTGCATTTTCGGAGTGGGTTCTTATCCGGAATTCTTTGTGCTGCCTTCGGCGCCAGCGTCCCTGACGCGAGGGTGCACGCGCCCTGGGGCACTTTCGGCGGTGGGGCATTATTATGTCTCACTCGGTTCGGTCGCTGGGTGGCTCTCTCCCTTTCTCTTTCTCTTTCTCCTCCTCCGTTCGTCCGCCACGATGTTCGTGCTGAGCCTGGACGAGACGCTCTCCATTTCCTCTCTTCTCCGGACGGTCCATTCGGACTCGCCGGTGGTGCAGCGCGTCCAGAGTCGGATGGATGCGTTTCTTTTTAACGCCGTCGTAGGGGGGAACCCGTGAGTTTTCCAGCGCGCCACTATAGAGATCATGTTGAACATCGTGGTCTATGCTTCCCCAGGGTGTCGCTCGCCAACGCCACAGATGACACGACGAACCCCCCCAGCTGGCTCGCAGGCAGCACGAGCGCCAGAGGGATGGTGGCGGCGGCAGCGGAGTCCTACTCGACATGGCATTCGCCCATCCCCAAGGCCGCGGTCAAAATCGAGCCTGAAGATTGGGTATGGCCCAGCCATAGTTACGGTGAGCGCCGCCCCGCCTCTCCCACGAGCGAGATTAGCGATCTCGCGAGGACCCACCCCGGATACCCAAATGCTGATACCCGTCTTCTCCTCGCCCAGATACGCAGCAGCCGACGGAGCGTGTGACGACGACGCGCTCCGGTCCGCCCGAGGCACCGACCGAAGCATCCAGCACCGAAAGCTGCAGCTCTAGCACGGGCACCTCCTCCGAAGACGCGTCGGTACCCACCTTCGACTTCGAGCCCTATCACCGCGTGCTGTACCCCGCTCCCAACGGCCTGCCCGCCTCCGACGACGACGCGGACGGCTCGTCGCCGAGCGCGCCTGCGGAACCGGAACTGGCCCGACCGTGGAACCGCTGGCCGGCCAGCCCGAACGACGCTCGCGCGCACGACTACCAGCCCGCGGCGAGGCCCGGCCGGGGAAGCCACGGACAGGTCGAGCGCGTCTGCTTCAACTGCGACGCGCGCTCGTCCGCGGCCTGGCGGCGGTCGTCGCTCACCCCCGGAAAATCGGTAACCGTCCGCTTTCACCTCCCCCCCTCTCCCCTTCCTGCGAGCTGACTGACTCTCGTTATTTAATCGATCCGATCGGGGTCCCCCCAGTTGTGCAACAAATGCGGGCTATACGAGCGGACGCACATGAAGCCCCGTCCGCACGAGGCCATCACCCGGCGCGACCGCGACCGCGAGCGGATCCGCCACCGGCTCAGCGCGTCGCCGTCGACGCCGTACGACCTTCCCCACGCGGCGCAGACGGTGCCGTCCCAGATGCGGACTGAGCTTCTTCCCCCGGCGCCGGGCGGGATGCGCGCGAGGACGAGGAGGGAGAGCGACGCGGCGGAGAGGGAGGTGGAGACGGATGGGGAGGCGCGTCGGCCGCGAGCTACCGTACGCGGCGCGGCGCGGGTGCCGCCGATGCACGAAAACGTGAAGGAGCCGGCGTCGGCGACTCGATGATGATACATGATACCCCCGGTCTCTTCCCGTTTCATGGGATCTCTTCCGCTCCTCTCCTGGAATGCGCGCTTAAGGCTTCTTGTTGTTGGCGGAACTTGCTGAATCCGTTCGTGACTTCGGTCTTGTGACATTATGGATGATATTCGTAGAAGGAAGTATGTAAATATAGATAACGAGGCTAAGCGTGGTTGCGGATGCCAAAACCTCTTTGAGTTTATTGTATCCGAGTATAGGAAGCTCGTTCAGAACGATGGCGAGCTCGAAGCCGTGTAGCTTCGCGGCCTCGATTTACGCGGTCCGCCCAAGAGCTTATATAATCACCAGTCCTCTCTCGTTGCTCATCTTCATCGGACCGATGCCGCGTCGGAATCGCTCGTTCTGAAACGTTCCAACTGTCTGGACAATAGACCGAGTCTTGTTCCAGGAGAAACTGCGCGTGCCGGCGCCGTCATGTGGGGCCGGTATCGCGGTTACGGAAGCGAGCTCAGTGAGACGGGAGAGGTGACCCGCCGTTTTGCGATATCGATCGCTTCGTTGGATCTCATGTACTGAAGTGTCAGTTTATTATCCGGAGCTCTTGCGTCTCTGAAGGCACGATGATGTAGTTTCGCCGATCGACCAATACCAGTCGGATACGAATGCTGTCGAATGCGGTCCGGTTGATGGCTGCAAAATTTGGATCGAAGTGGTATCTGCATGCTATAATCGACACCTCATGTGAACAAAGAACTACAAACAAGGAATCGCGATCGGCCGACAGCGAAGGTTTGTGCTATTGTTCTGCTCGCCTCGGAGACCAAGACAAGGCGACCTAGCTAACAAGCCGGTGCTGTTACTGATCCGACAGCTTTGCGCCATATCCCCTTTATGATCAATGAGTGCGGTGAAGTAGTAGTATGTTATCGACACACGCCTTTCCGACCTGTTACCGTGCGCACTCATACTTCTTTCATCAGGAAACAGCCGGGTATAATCTTCTCATCAACAATCCGGTGTACTTATTCAGAGAACAACTCAATATGCTGGGCTTCGTTGAGGACATGATCACCAGGTTCGCGAATCCTCTCGTATCGCGCAGAGATGATTTGACATGTGAACGCATCTTAGGCAGACGGTGGGAAATATTCAGAGTTCTACAGACGAGCACAACTACTCACACGGTAGCAGGGACACATTGATAGCCTGAGTATCCAAGAAACAATCTCCGCTCTGACGACACTTTGCGAAGTATATGCCACTGCTCCGAAAAACCTGAAGGAAAGCCACGGAAAGAAGATTGCGGTCAAGCTAGAGGAGTCCCAACTCATATGTGATCTACTTCACATCAGTGGTTGGCGAGGCGACTCCTGATGTCGCACGTTATAGGTCGTCCGCATGTTATTTCTCAATGCCAAATGGAATCTCGTTCGCCCTCTTTCATGCTTGTTTATTGGTCCACTCGAGCCCGCTGCCTCTCGCCTTCTCTACCTCACGTGCCGCGTCTATCCTGGCGCGCAAGCCGCTTCAGGATGATATGATTGACTGCCATATCCGATTCAAGCTCAGGCCCCAGGATACTGTGAAGAGCGGGTCGTCGGTTTCCTGCGATTCGGACTTATACATCACCAGCGAATCCTTGGATGCAGAACAGGCCGCTATCCTCATATACCAGGCATATAGTGACTCCAAGGAAGGCTGGTTGAACGTGAGTAAGTCCCGATAAGAGTGGTTTTCAACGTGCTGAGCATAACGGGGGAATCAGCGTTTCCATTGCGGGATCATGACATGGGCGAAGGTTTATGAAGGCAATGAGGATGGTGTTGTCTTGCCTCTATGAGCTTATGGTCTACATGCTGAGGGACCGTACGTACACACTTATACTCACAGTCTACGCTCGTTCTCATTGCTGTGCACCGCAGTTTTGCGATCAGCCCTTTAGCATTGGGTAACGTAAGGGCCTACCTCAAAACACGTCGCGAAGTTAATCGGCTCCAGTTGGTAAGGAATAATTGATGAGTTGTTTGCTGTATAGGCTATCCAGGTAGCGCGATGCCTCAGCTCACCACATGACCGGAACATTGTGCACGGTGACGTGGAATATGTGAGCATTCCATTCGTGACTGTCTTCCACAGTGAGCGCTGACTGAAATACTTGGCTGATAGACCCCATTCGTTGTTTTTCGAGGATGAGAACAAAGCACCGCAGGTCATTGTGACAGGATTTTATGTAACGGAAGTACGTTCACCTCATTCATGTTCGCATAGCTCGATAACAGCGTGGAACACTAGTTCTTGGGAGAAGGATGTGAATCAGTTTTGACAGGCCACACGATTCCATTTCGTACACTCTCTTCTCGTACCAATTCGTTGGATACTATAAACTTATGAAGACCAGGTTTCCTGCTCCGGAGTGTGTCGCAGACGATAAAAATACCACATATGGAAAGCCAAGAGATGTGTGGTCACTTTCATGCATTATTCGGAGTGTGAGCCTTCGTTACCCCATGGTTTTAAAGCAGGTCAATTGATGCATCTTTTGGAAGATTATGACAAGCACTCAGCTGCGATTTAGCCAATTGATAGCGCTTTGGCCCCACTTCCCGGATCGCATACAAAAGCTACTTGAAATACCCACGAATCCTGCAACTGTCGCTCGTGGTATGAGCGCGGAGTTGCACAAGCTCATGGAGGACTGCTGGGCATTCAATGCAGCACAGCGACCTACGATTCAGGAGGCTGTGGCTCGGCCGGAGAGTTGTCATGCTCATTGGTTGAAGCCGCGTAGGAGTCGATGGTGCTGAAGCCATGTATCAAACAGCTCACATCTGCGCTTTAGCATACGCACTTCGTAGAAATTGGGCGAGGTTTGCGTTCTTCTAGGCTAAAGAGACTCGAAAATGTGTTAATACCCAAGTTATATCTCCCACTAACATTTGGGTGTGCTTGAAGTCCACGATACTCCCTTTGTCGTTCTGCCTTGCACTGACTCAACGAGTCAAAACAGGTCTGGTACGGAGTCCAAACGACCAACGAGAGGAATGTGGTAGGCAGCATGAGGAACAGATGGTGCCTTGGTGGAAACCTCTGCATCATCATCCGCCACACGTGCATGGCTCAGCATGCGCTGCAAAGGTCGCGTGCTTTACACCAATATTGAGAGGCGACACAGTTTACGGCTGCATCGGTCCTGTCAATGAAACCGCGCTCATAAAAGGAGCGACAGCGCTATTACAGCGCCATCGAAATCGCGCGTCATCATCACAGTCATCACAGTCACTGGTTTTACATAATCAGCACATCTTGCTTCCCACCGGCACGCTGCTATACCACGGTCGCGCCTTCTCGATTCTGCGTTGATCGTCGCAAGACCACCTATCAGGCCGAATAGCGCACGAGAACTTCGGTCGTTGCAGTTCTGTCGCTAGTGATGCTCTTATTGTTGAAAGCAATGCTGAAGGACCGACAAGAATATCGGACAGCTTGCAGCGGAGTTGATATTGTACGGCGGATCGGCCCACTGTACTAGGGATTATCCACACGGACCTACTTGCGTTGTTCTGCCGTTGTGCTGACCAACCAGCACGGGCTGAAATGCAGTCCGCCGATAGCTTGCGCAACTCCGATGGACAAGAGGATCATCTGCCTTCGTCGCTACCTCTGAATGCAATTATGATACATAGGTTCTCTTGTCATTGTGAGCTGAGGACAGCATTCACTTCCATCTTAGGCTGCTCTTTCTATCCACCCCTCCTAACAGATAAGGACGCCTAGGCAACAGCTCGAAGGTTCGCCTCGAGAGCGATGTATAGCTTGATGTTGCCCCTCTATAAATTACGGTCCAAACGAGGGAGCAGGTTACCTTGATACAGCCCACAACACGCATTACTTCCACAATCTGAAACCGACGCATCGCCCGAATATGCAATCGTCCCTGCCCGTAGATTACGCCTCTTCAGCAGATTCTCCGGTGGATACAGCGCTGGACTTGTCGCACGTTGACTACCTCCGCCAGATTCTGAGACTACTCGCTGGCATCATCAACTCTGTTCACGAGGTTCGAACCGACAGGTTCGTCTCGCCGCCCTCGTCTTGCGCCACATAACTGCAGAAACGACTTGGTTGTCTAATGCTTTCACCGATCATAGACACGAGGCCGGACTCCTCGCTGTGTTCTGCGATCGGCTTGTCCTTGCACTTTACCGCAAGAACTGCGACCAGATGGTTCTGATTCCTAATCGCGTCAGACGGGGAGTCAGGGATGCTCTGCCGCGTGTCGAAAGGCAAGTCGTACTACGCGTACGTTCCTCCTCGAACTACGCTGACCGTTTTATCTTTCGTAGTTTACTGGCGGAAATCGCCGAGCTCCGCTGGACAAGCAAGAAAGAATGGGAGTGGGCCCCCTCGCAGCGCATAGCGGACACCATGACGCGAGACTTCATCATTCAAATACAAAAATGCGTCTCTCGATACAACGTATGTCCCTCTCTTGATTCGAAAGGACTGATGACTCACCTCATCGGATGGCTAGCTGTCAAAGTATGTCCAGTTTCCGAGCATCGAAGAAGCGGTCTGCACTCTGGAAACACTCTGCAACGCATATCACACGGCCTCGGGACACGGGAAGGAAGTCTGCAGAGAAAATATCGTGGTCACGATGGAAAGACTGCAGCATGTTCGTTCGCTTCTCCAAGTGTATGTATGCCTGGGGCCACGACGCTCATGCAGGTCCATGCAGGTCCTCCACATCGTACCCGAGGCGCCTGACGCCCTCACTCGCGCCTTCTCCGCTCTACGCACCGCTTCGGAATTGGTGCGGGAGCCGCTGCAGGACCTCCGGGAAGGTTGCGAGATCGAATGCGGGCGCGGTGAGATACACGAGATCGGACTCGGTAAAAGCGCGGATCTGCACGCCTTGTCGCGCTTCTTGGACGTGGAGGGGGCGGTGTTCCGGAAGAGCCGAGCCGGGCTCGAACCCGCCGAGCAGTGGTTGGATGTGAGTAGATTTGTTTTGGACGTTCTGTTTACCTTTGGCTCATGAGTCGGGCTTCTGCGCAGCGTTTTCGGCGCTGCATCATTACGTGGGCCCGGGTGTACGAGGGGGATGAGGATGGTGTCGTCTTGCCGCTATGGGCTTATAGTCTCGATGAAACGAAACCGTGAGTGGTCTCGTCGGTGACAGACAGATAAACGTGTTGATCACCTCTGTCTACGCCTGCAGCTATTCGATCAGCCCCGCGGCGGTGTGCAGTGTAGAGAAGTACATAAATGATCATCCGGGTGCCGACCGCCTTCAGCTGGTAAGATCAATGTTGAGCACAATCACGATCGCTGATTGATATACATATTCGTGAACAGCTGACACAAATGGCGCGATGCATCAAGTCGCTGCACGGCAGAAATATCGTGCACGGAAGCATCAAACATGTATGTCATCTGTTCCTCTACAAATCACCGTATATGGATTGGCGCTTGCTTCTCAGTATCGATTTGTCGTCATGGAAGGAGGCGACTTGCCGAAGGTAACGGTAACAGGCTGGTACGCGGCACAGGTGCGTCCAGCTTTCCTGGGACCCGTCAGCCCGAGAGTAACGCCACACTAGTTCCTGGAACCAGGCCGTGACTTGGTCGAAGATACCCTCGACGATTCCGGGTGGTATGCCTTCTCCCGCGTCGACCATATATGCCGTCAGCTGATCATTTCGTAGGCTAACTGCTCCGGAGCGCGTCCAATCGGACGGATGTGGTTCATACGGGAAGTCCGCCGATGTTTGGTCTTTTGCATGTCTCGTTTGGAACGTGAGTACTCATTTCCCATTCCCGCTCTGTTGCATTAATTCTCATATCTGTTTGCTGCAAGATCGTGACAAGCACGCGGATGCCATTGGAGCAGTTTGCGCTTTTGCACTCGGGTCAAACCCACCAGCGGCTTCCCGAACGGCCTACGGACTCGATGGTCATCGCCCACGGCATGAGCGAGGAGCTGTACAAGCTCGTGGCAGACTGCTGGGCATACGATGCAGCGCAGCGGCCGACTATGGAGGAGGTAGTGGCTCGGCTGGAGAAGTGCCACGCAGCGATGAGTGCCAGCATGTAGGACCTGCCGGTGCTTCTACGTCGTACCTTCGAGCTTTGAGCTTTGAACCATACATCCTAGTCGCCGTATCGTGATATTGAGTGAGGCTGATATGCATGTAGTCATGACGGTAATTGATACTGTCCTTGTGGGCTCGGCAAAAGGCGTACACGTGGGTACTTTTATCATGCCGCAGGGCCGCGTTGGCTCGTAAGCTTCAAGTACCACGTCTGCTTGTGCACGGGGCTCCAGATGACCGGCAAGACTGACAGTGCATGGTTTGCCGCCGCTCCGCTTCCCGCTGCAATCGTCAGCTGGTCGAGCAATGCGCAGGCAGCGCAGCTGATCAACGCATTTTCAGTGATTCGTTGATGCCACGGTATACCGCCACCGATCCCACCTCGAAGAGCGTCAAATACTGAGTCTACGATTCCCAGGAGATGATCCCCCGAGCGATGCCGTCCCTGTCGATCTCCCCTGGCATCGCCGCACTGCTGAGGTCGATACCGTCCTTCGTCACCCCCTTCGTTCTCTTGTTCTCCCTCAAGCGCGTACTTGACGCCCGTGGCAGCTCTGCTCCAGCATGGGCATACGCGACTGCGTGTGTGCTGGGCTACCCGCTTGTCTTCTTCGGCCGTGTGTTCTACAAAGACTGGCGTATCCGTCGTCGAGCGCATGCCCTCGGTGCGCGCCCGGTTCCGCGTGTCTCAGCGAGGCTGCCGGGCGGAATTGACCGCCTGATGTACTCCATCCAACACATGGGCGACTATTGTGGTGGGTGCTCGCTTGTTCTCACTTGTCTACGCCATCTTGCGCTGTGCTAACGCTGAAATCGAAGGCGACGCGATCAGGCCCATGTACACGGAGGCGGGGCCCCTTTTCGACATGCGCGTCCTCTGGAACTCGGCTTTCTTCACCGCGCACCCGGCACACATCAAGTCCATGCTCGCCACCGACTTCCAGAACTTCGTCAAAGGCCCGCTCTTCACCTCCCAAATGCGCTCCGTGCTCGGCGCGGGCGTCTTCAACGCCGACGGCGACGTCTGGCGGTTCCATCGCGGCATCACCCGGCCCTTCTTCGTCCGGGAGAAGATCACGCACTTCGAGATGTACGAGAGCCACGCGCGGGAGGCGATCGATCGCCTGAGGGAGCGCGTGCGCGAGGGCGTCGCCGTCGACGTCCAGGACCTCGTCGCGCGCTTCACGCTCGACAGCGCGACCGTGTTCCTCTTCGGCCAGCGCGTGCACTCCCTCGGCGCCCCTCTGCCGTACCCGCATAACCACCGCAACGGGGCGGCGGCCGCGGGGCAGTCCGCGAGCGCCCGCGAGGCGGAGGCGTTCGCGCGTGCGTTCGGCGCGTCGCAGGACGTGCTCGCGCAGCGCGCCACCGTGGGCCCGATCTGGCCGCTTTTCGAGATGAAGCGTGACGGGACGGCGGAGCCGATGCGCATCGTCAACGCGTTCATCGACCCGATCCTGAAAGAGGCGATGCGAAAGAGGCCGGCCGGGGAAGTCAGATCTGGCGAAGGGAAGGAAGAGGTGGCGGACGAGGATACGTTACTGGACTACCTTGTCCGACAAACAAGTGGTGCGTTTCGTGGATCGGTCTCTCGTACGAACTTCGCTGATCACCTGTCTCTCATGTCTTGCCTTCATTTACCCCTACCTCCTCACCTGTAGACACCACCCTCATCAAAGATGAGATCCTCAACATTATGATTGCAGGGCGCGACACGACCGCTACTACTCTCACCTCTGCCCTCTACGCGCTCGCCATCCACCCGCCCGTCTTCGCCAGACTGCGCTCCGAAATAGCCCAGCACGTTGGTCTTGGGCGCGACGGCCGTGCACCGACGTACGACGACGTGCGCGCGATGAAGTACCTTCGCGCCGTCATCAACGAGGTCCTGCGGCTGTTCCCGCCCGTACCGTTCAACGTGCGCACAAGCGTTGGCGAGGTGGTCTGGCCGGCGGACTCTGGTGACGTGGACGGGCGGGGGTGGTACGTGCCCCCAGGGACGTCGTGAGTAGGCGCTGACCCTGGAGGAGACCTGAAATTCGCTGATGCGAAACTCGCCAGATGCACGTATTCGGTGCTTTACATGCACAGGCGGAAGGACCTATGGGGCCCGGATGGTACGTGCACGTACCACTACGCAAACAAGCATCTAACCTGAGGGTTTCTGAAGCCGAAGAATTCGATCCGGACCGCTTCCTCGACGAACGCCTGCACAAATACCTCACGCCGAACCCGTTCATTTTCCTGCCTTTCAACGCTGGTACGTGCACCCCCCCCCCCGCCACCCTCGCTCTCCTATACGCACACCCGCTGAATGAAACGGGACCCGCTTTCCAGGACCGCGTATCTGTCTCGGCCAGCAATTCGCCTACAACGAAGCTTCTTTCATGCTCATCCGCCTCTTGCAAGTCTTCTCCGGCATCGAGCTCGCCCCGGACGCGCAGCCGCCTGACTCTCGCCCACCGCCCGAGTGGAAGCAGCTGTCGGGGCGCACTGCCATCGAGCAGTTCTGGCCTAGAAACCACTTGACCATGTATGCCAGTACGTCGCCCTTACTTCCGCGCGCTTGGCTGAGACGCTGATGTTGAGGACACAGAGGGCGGGCTGTGGGTACGGCTGACGGAAACAGAGGGGTAGGTGGAGGTTGCATGATGGGTAGGTTCCGACGGAGAAGTGTGACATTTTGCTCTCGACCTCGCCCAAGGCAAGGAATGATAATGTCACATTGAAACCGACTTGTATGTATCGTACGTAATGCTGATTTGTAGTCGTAGAGCACAACTTCGTGCAATCCAGCATGTGCTGCTCTCATTCCTCGTCCTCCTGCCCGACACCGTCATCGTCCTCTTCCTAGAAATTCTCCTCCTCCTCCTCCAGAAAGCCCGGACCCAACAACACTGTGACCGCCTCGTCCTCCTTCTTCATATTGTTCCTGTTTCTCGCCGCCTCAAGAATCGTCCGCGAAACCGCTGCTTCAACTGGTTCGTGATGGCAGACGAGTGTGATCGTTCTCAGCGACGGCAGCAGGCCCATGTTGACGGATGAGCTATCATCGCCGATCCACTGTGCGAAGCGCTCGAAGTTCCAAGGCGAGAATAGGTTCAAATGGTCCAACTTGTAGAAGTGTGGATGCAGGTCGTTATTGAGCATGTCTATCGCTTCCTGCTCGCTCATGTCATGGCCATCTATGCCCAGTATCTGCAAGCGCGGACAGCATGCGATCACCTCTACGACGGAGCCGGAGTACCCGCGAACTCGAAGTGTTGTCACTATGAGAACGACGCGATCAGCGTGAGGCAATGAGATCCTCCGTAACCTGCGACTCACACCTTGGCCCGACGATCCGCAAGGCGTACATGACAACATCATGAGGAACGTTGACGTTGGTGAAGAATAACGTTCGCAACGTGCGATGGGAGCAAAGCACCAGCCTCGAAAACGGGTGCTAAAAAAACGAGGTAAGGATAGCGCACCGGCTCCGTCAGAAGGACGGTGCTCACGAAGTCAACAGGCCATCCAGCGTTTTCACCTTCCGGTACCTCCGCAGGCCGGATCGCTCCCTCTTCCAAGCTGTCCTTTCTTGCACGCCGCTTCTTCAGTATCTCTGCCACTGCAGCCGACATCGGGACCTCCGGGGCCAGGAACTCAATGCGCGATAGGTGCAAGAAGTCCAGCGTTGTAGGCAGCCACGGCGAGCTGGGCGGCTCCTTGAACAGGAGCTGTGGCCGGTACCAGACGTACTTCCACACGTCGCCGAGTGTCTTCTGATCCTCCCGCGTGGGATCCACACCGACGCCGACATCCTCCGTGAAGATCCACGGGTTCGTCCCGATCTTGATCTCGCGCAGTTCGACGTGTCTCAGCCGCGACATGTTCGCCACGGCGCGCGGAAACGGGAGCCGGCCGTTCATCCTGGTGAGATCGGGGCCCCTGGCGTAGAAGAAGTATTCCAGATTGTGCCATTTTCTGAGCACCCGCGCGTGCTGTCAACCCGAACATTGAGTTACGTGAACCTGTTGGCAACGGCAGCTGCCTACCTGGTCAAGAAGAGGATGATCTCCCTTATGCCAAATGTGCAAATGCTTCAAACGCGGCATCATTTGCAACAGGAACCGGAGGTCGATCAGACCGGGAGAATGGACGATCAGAACCTTCACGGCGTGGCGTAGATACGCTTTGTCTTCGGAGGCGGGAACGACGTCTGGGATAGGCCAAACATGTCTTAGAGCAGACTGTGTGGCATACGGAGAACGTTGAGTGACTGGCGGGCGATGGCTGAGGAGACGGATGCTAACCAGTTTGCGAGCCAGAGGGTCTGCATCAGGCGACAGAGGCCGGGGAGTGTAACCATTATCACCATTGAGCACCGCGTATAGTGCTAGCTGCGGTTTAAAACGAAGTAAAGAAAGATTGGCATCGTAACAATATCGTGGTAGGATACTTACCGCCTTCTTATCATTCCTGACTACCAATTTCTCAAAAACATGGGGTTGGAACACGTATTTCAACCTCTTGCAGGTACGGCTGAGCTTGTCCAGAGTCCTCTGATCTGCACGGATCGGAGGTGCGTAGAGGTCCTTAGGTAGCAGATACGATGCGATCTCTTCGAGCAATTCATATGGAATCGTGGCGAGGGAAGGCGAAGGCACCTGTTCTCCTTTGAGTGTTGATCCAGTCGAGTTTTCACTAGCGGATGGAAAAGACGACATTTCGTATGGTGTGTATACCTCTTGTACAATGGAGAGTGTATGCGCGCTGGGTTGCTGCAAGAGCAGGTCGCGTCAGTGGCGTGGAAATTATTCACGTGAACTTATTTGAATCCCAATGTATTGTGCAGTGTTGTAACATGTCCATGCACAAGCATTGAGTATGTACGGGGCTCTGAAGCATCGTGACAGCTATCTCAGCATTAGTCCGAAGCTCTGTTACCTTCGGCAATCTCGTCACCATCGACATTTTCGGTGTCCTGGTCACTCTCATCACCGCTATCACTCGCCATTGGGGCCTCCTGGCTGCCCTCGTTGCCCTCTTCACCTTCGTCGTCTTCTCCGCCTTCGTTGGAATCGTGCTCGGAGCCGGCTTCCGTTGCGAATCCTCGAACAAGTACGACGTTTACCGCCTCCGACTCCGGATGGACATTGTTGCGCCTCTCCGTTGCCTCCACGATCGCGCACGTTGTTTCCCATGGAACATTCCGCTCATTTTCTAACCCCCCCACAAGCGATATAGTCTTCAGCGAGCTCAGCAAACCAGTGTTCACCGACGAGCTTTCGGACTCCAACCATTGACCGAAGTCTTCGAAGTGCCACGGCGCGTAGATCGTGAGTTCACGGACGCTAGCAGGAATGTGGTGGTCGAGCATCTCAGTTTCGTCCTCAGGTGTCATCCCATTCCCGTCGATGGTTAGGGATACCAAGTGCGGACAGCACAGAACGATATCTTTCAATGAGTGGGGGTATGTCCTCACGTGGAGAGCCCGCACTGCAATATGTAGGTGAGGCGACATGCTGACACGAGAAGTATGAGGCGCGTACGTCCTGAGCCTACAGCTTTCATCGCGTGAATCACGGGTTCGTGAGGAACGCCCTTGATGGCAGAGAGTTCCAGTTCCCGCAGATTTTCACGAGAGCACATGACCAAGCGCGCAAACGGATGCTGGTACGAAGCGTGATGTTATCCCAGTCGAGATATCGGCAAAAGTCTGCGTGGGTCTGACTTACGAATTCGACGGGCCAATCTTTTCCGGCTGCATCCGCGTCAACGCGACTTCCATCGTCGCATTTCGCATCCTTCTCTTTCTTCAGTATATTCGCCACTTGTTCGGTAAGCCAAATCCCTTTCTCCTCAAAGTTGACTCTGGACAGTTCCAGAACTTCCAACGTGCTTGGGAGCCACGGAGAACTCGGCGTCTCCTCCATGAGAAGCTGGGGCCTGTACCACACGTACTGCCACGCGTGCCCTAGACGTTGTCGATCCTCGGACGTGGGATCCATCCCGACACCGACGTCCTCCGTAAAGATCCACGGGTTCATGCCGATATCGAGATCTTCGAGCATTAGATGTCTGAGGCGAGTCATGTTCGCCACCGCACGGGGGAACGGCAAACGGTCCGTTTTTTCGGACAGGTCCCCGCCGCTGTAGCAGAAACTTTCGAGATTGTGCCACCTCCGCAAAATGCGAGCGCTCTGCGAGGGATGTGTCAACGCCGCCGACCTAATAACGTGCGAGAAAGGAGCGGCGCACGTTATCGAGAATATGCTGGCACTGCTCTCCTCCAAAGTCATCGATTACGAGGTGTCGCAGAAGCGGCATCATCTGCAGCAAAAAGCGAAGATCGAGGTACTCGGATGAACATCTGGAGTATGGCCGGGCGACGAGTGTCCTGACGCCATTGCGTAAGAACTTTCTTTCATAGGAAACGGGCATCACATCCGCGATGGGAACAACATTTTTCACTGCATACTGCCCGCGTCACATCATAACTGTTAGTAACACTCGTGCGATAGGAGGTCGACCCACTAGTTTCCTAGTCAACTCGTCTGCGTCCTCAGGCATCGGTCTGAAAGCCAGGAGAATGGAGCCGTTGAGGACTTCATATACCTTCTCCTGAATTCCAAAGCTGTATAACCACGCGCGCTTGTAACTGCGAGAAACGCTCACCACCTGCTCCTGCGTTTCAACGGCTATGTATCTGAAGACCTTGGGCTGGAACGTAGTCCTGAAACCCATGCACGTCTCGCTGAGAGATCGGAGAGCCGCCAGATCTGCGGCGTCAGGTGGCTTAGACGCGTCGGCGGGTACAAAGAAGGCGGCGATGTCCTCGAGAATGTCAAAGGGTAGCGATGCGAAGTGCGGGACAGGCCACGGCTGAACAACGGGATCAGAGTAAGCGAACACATCATCTCGGCCGCCATATGTCGATCTTAGAAGGTAGCCAGTCACATAGGGAGCCATCCATGCAGCTGCGGACGAGGAAAGGTTGGGTAGCGATGCGAGATGCGGCGGGGATGACTCTCAGGAGTGAATCAGTAGAATCTAGATGGCTCAGAGTCAGGGAACAATGGCGGGAAGAACGTGTCGCAAAGAACACGTTCTTGTGGGCGGAGTTTCAACTTTCATTGACATGCGCATTACATAATCAGTACCTAATTGCAAGTCTAGTTTGCTCTGTCGCTCTCGTCGCTTTCGTTGTCTTCGTCCATCTCGATACCTTGGTCGCTTTCATTGTCTCCGTCACTCTCCTCCTCCTCCTCCTCCTCCTCCTCGTCCCTGTCATTGTCGTCCTCCTCGTCTCTGCCATTGTCGTCCTCCTCGTAAATCTCGTCGCCCTCATCACTCCCCGCATCGGTGACCTGCTCCTGTCTCTTGTCAAGCACCACTTTGACCGCCTTCATCTCCGGATGCGCGCTATTGCGCCTCTCTGCCGCCTCCAGGATCGCACGTTCTGTACCATCCTCGAATATCCCCACCAGTGTTATTATGTTGAGCAATCGTAATCGGCCCGTGTTTATGGCTGAGCTTTCGCACTCAAGCCATTGCGCGAAGAGCGTGAAGTGCCACGGCGCATATATTTTGAGTTGGCGAACGTGTGCGGGAACACAGTGGTCGAGAAACGCAGCTTCTGCCTCTGGGTCTTTCCCATAGCCATCGATGTCCAGATACGTCAGACGCGGGCAGCACGCGATGATATCCTCAACTCGCCCGGGGTACTTAATGACGTGGAGAACATGCACTAGGTGTGTCCATGTCAACATGGGCTAAGGTTGATTATAGCAAGCAACTGGAAGCACATACATCGTGATCCTACCGCTGTCATCGCGTGCACAACGGTTTCGTGAGGTACTCCCTTGATTTCACGGAGTGTCAGCTCTCGCAGACTGCCCCGCGAGCACATCACCAGTCGCGCGAATGGATGCTACAATATGGATACTCAATATGAATCGCGGCATATACATGGCGAATCTGGGCTCACGAAATCGAGGGGCCACTTTTCCCCAATCTTATCCTTGTTGGTATGTTCTAGATTCTGGCTCGTCTCCCCCCTTTCGCATCTTAATATCTTCGCCACGTCTTCGGTAAGCGGCACCCCTTCTTGTTCGAAGTTGATCCTGGCGAGCCCCAGGTACTTCAGTCGACTAGGCAGCCACGGAGTACTCGGCGGCTCTTTCATCAGAAGCTGGGGCCGGTACCACACGTACTCCCAGACACGTCCCAAAGCTCGTTGATCCTCACGCGTGGGATCCATCCCGACACCGACATCTTCGGTGAAAATCCACGGATTCATGGCAATGTCAAGGTCCATCAGGAGGAGGTGCTTGAGGCGAGTCATGTTTGCTATCGCACGGGGTAACGGCAAGCGATCGGTGTTGACAGATAAGTCACCGCCGGTGTAGTAGAAGCTCTCAAGGTTGTGCCACTTCCGCAAGATGCGAGCATTCTGCGAGATATACGTCGGTGTCTTGTGAGACAATAAAGGAACGAGAAAGGAGTTACAGACCTTGTCAAGAATATGCTGGCAATATAGCCGCTCGAAGTCCGCGATAATCAAATGCCGTAAAAGTGGCATCATCTGGAGCAAGAAACGGATGTCGAGGTAATCGAACACGTTTTTTGGCTTTACCGCGAGAGTCCGCACACCACGCCGCAGAAATTCTCTCTCAGCGGAAATCGGAATCACGTCCACGATTGGAACAGCGTTCTCGATCTTATACTGTACGTCGGGAGGATAATGTTAGTTAAACATCATATCAGAAGAAGTGTCCAATAGATTGAAAGCTTACCAGCTCTCTGGTCACTTCGTCCGCATCCTCTGGCATGGGTTTAAACACTAGGCCACAGGAGCCGTTGAGCACTTCATAGATGCCCTCCTAAACGCACTAATTCAGCAATGCGGCTGATAGCGAGCCGAAACCACACTGACCACCTGTCTCTCGGTCTTCACCACCAAATATCGAAAAACCTTCGGTTGAAATATAAACCTGAAGCGCTTGCACGTCTCGCTGAGACAGCGTAGAGCCTTAAGCTCAGCAGGAGTCGGTGGTATAGAGGCATCCGAGGGCACAAAGTAAGCACATAACTCCTCGAGAATGTCGAAGGGCAGCGATCCTAGGTGCGGGGAAGGCCAAGGTTGAGAGAATGGCGAAGAGTACGCGAATACGTCCTGCTTGGGCGTTGCTCCCAAGCGATAACCGATCCATGATTCGGAAGAAGACATTTAGGTTGCAGGTGCTAGGACGATGTAGAGCAATGTGCAGTGGTGGAGGAAGCAAGATACAGTGAGTGGCACATCACCGTCGTAAGGCGTTCTGCTCATATACATCTCGCGGAACAATGACGAAGAAAAACGTGGCCCGTCAACAAAGAACACACACGGTGGTGGCCGAGTGCAAGTTCTCGAAGACGGTCCACCGTAACGCGTCCTTTGACGCGACGGTGGCGTGTGAATAGCTAGCTACTACCTAACTTACCATTTACGCATGTATAAAAATTGTTTGGAGGTACGTACGGACAGAGATATCAGCCACAGGTAGTCTTACGGGAAACGTTAAATCCACCCCTCCGAAATACGGTCACTTTTGTATCTTCAACCAACGTCTTTGCTCATGAGATGTAGCTCCCACACGGCATCTCCAACGTCAGGATTGGTGCACGCCTTGCACCAGCAGAGTTCTCGGGACTCCCAGCGGCGTTTTCCATAGCATATTGAGTCCGTAGACGTTCCATTTTGCATTGGCATCCAGATCAGTCAAATCGATCATTTCAAGCGAGCTGAGTTTCCCGGTATTCAGACTCGAGCTCGGGTCGCCGAAAAGTTTGTTGATCAAGTACAATCCGAAGTCGTGGTATACTTTCAACGTGCGAAGATTGTTGAGACGTAGAGCATCACAGATCAAGGCCCCTTCGGCGCCGCGGCCATCAATTCCCAGATGTATGAGGCGCGGGCACAAAGCAATGACGCCTCGGTAGCTGTGAGGGTATTCTCTGATGATGAGATTCGTGACTGGTGGATATTCGGATTGCGGCCCCACAGACTTCATAGCATGAAGAACAACGTCGTGCGGGACAGTTGTAATATTGACGAGGGACCAACTCTCGCAACGTTTTGTGGGAGCACGTCACCAATCTCGCAAAAGGGTGCTAGCCATGCACGTATATTAGCACATCGAGCACTAGGAGTTCCAAGCCCACGCTCACGAAATTCAACGGCCACTGGCCCTCCTCTACGTTTCCGGAAGTAGTCGCCATCCCATTCTCGTGCTTGATCACACCGCACAAGTCGTTGTTCATTGGCATGGCCGGAGCCGGGAATCGGACGTTATCCGATTCCAGCGTCTCCAGCCCGACCGGCAGTCCAGGAGCCATTTGCAAAGGTTCGATGGCCTCAGGTGGGCCGCTGAGGTCCTCGACGAGGATCCACGGGTTCACGCCGACTATGCTGATATTTCCCAGCCTGAGAAACTTCAGCGTCGTATTTTCCGCAGGCGGGAGCGGCCAACATTCGCCCTGTCCGGACAACGCGCTGTTAGCCTCGCAACAGAAGCGCTCAAGATTCGGCCATCGCTTGAAGACGTCGACATCCTTTTTCACCACAGAAACGGGTAAGCAGAGCGCCCGACGCGTATACGAACGGGCAGTTTTTACTGACGTGATCCAGAAAGCCGCGTGAGAGACGTCCGGGAGAGTCGTTAACCTCGAGATGCCGCAAGCGGGGCATCAACTGCCACAGGAAGTGGAACACCATCAACCGCTCGTCGTTCTCCGCCCCACCACCCACCCTGTACCGCGGCTCGATGACGAGCTTTTTGACGCTGTCGCGGAGAAACTGTCGCTCCGCCGACACGGGTACAAGAGGGTGGCGGCGCGCTATAGCTGCGAGAGAGAGCTGGACAGGCGACGAGCAAAGTACACGAAGCGGATCCAAATCGACTAACGGCGGTGCCAGAGCTGCCGGAATCCATCCCGATCGTGCCAAAGTCCATCTCGTGGGTGCCGTTCAGAACCGCGTACAATCTCTCCTTTCTCGGCGAAAAAAAAACCCCTCCGAGGTCAACGACGCTGGCTCGCGCGCCTCAAGCCCCGCGAAAGAGACTCGCTGCCTGCGCCTGCGTTTCGACGGCCAATCGCCGGAACGCCTTCGGTTGGAAGACGGACCGGAAGCGCTGAGCGCGCGGACCGCGAGCAGACCACGCCGCGTCGGCGACGCGAGCTCCTCCAGGATGGCCAGCGACATCGCGCCGAGGCAAGGACCGGTCGCGAGCGGAACGAGTGATGACGGGCCGGCGAACGCGTCGCCGCGGGCATGTTTTCCGAGACTGGTGAATCGCATGCCGTGGCCGTGCTCCATGCGAGAAGATGTACCAAGCAGGGACGCTGTGTCGATGCTGTAAAAGGAGGCGAAGGTGAAGTGTGGTGGGAAGAGCGGTATTGCAGCAGCGAACACTTTCTTATACAGTTCAAGTTACAACCAGCATGGTGTGACCTGCACGCGCACCCGCAGGAAGATCTCCGAGCATGTTCTCCTTCGCGATGGGCAGTGCCATGGTGGGACACGACACCTTCTTTGGTCTCGTCAAAGTCGAGGGACTGAGGGCAGCATAAGCGCGTGCGGATGGTGGCTCAGAAAACGTCTATAATGAGTCACGCAATCGAACAAAAGATCGAGTACGATGCCACAGCATGCACGGGAGAGCACAGTGACCCTCCCGAGACAGGCTGGTCCGCGTCAAAGTTCGTCTAGATGCCTTGTTGACTCTGACGGTCCACCCAGGCCACCAAGCCACTCGCGGAGGATGCCGTTAACGTCATCCGGTCGCTCGAGGTGCGGCCAATGCGAGCTCTCCACCGTCTTACCAATTCAAAAAAAGAAACGTTTCTTTAGATTGGAAGAACAAACGAGGAAAGACCGAACCGAGGGACCTCACCTTCTGCGTCAAGCTCGGTATCCACTTCGCGACTCCGAGGCGCTCCGAGAACAGGACCCAGTCCGCGACGCGGTCCCTAGAATCGACAGGTACGAAGGTTATTGTTGGATCTTCCTGGACGGCGCATCAACTGACTTGGTCGGTAAAATGGCAAGCACGGGCTGCGGGATCGTAAAGTTCCCCTGCTCGTGCGCGCCCTGCCAGGTCGCGTATCGGTTCGCGTCTTGATAAAATTGTACGGCTGTCACATCCGGATGAGCGACGACGATGGTACTGGGGCACAGGACGCGCATTACTGTTTTTAAAGCCCTGGATGCTGTACTGCTCGACGAGGTAATCTTCTTCATCCGGTGTCATATACGGAATCGGCGGTATCTGAACGGGATCGTGGCAGGGGTCAATCGCTTCTAATTTTTTTTTCGTTCGCTACCAGAAAGATGACGTTACCTCGTTTAGGTTCGCGTACGCGCCGAGAAAGTCGGTCCTGCTGGTCAAGAACGCGTCCGCGCTCGGGCTGTCGATGGTCCGGTGGGTGCTGCGGAGCGTACGACGGACGTCGGCGTCGAGTTCGGCCACCGCCGCGGCCGTGTCGCCGGCGAAGTAAAGCTGGTAGTTAAGCGTGGGGATGGAGTGTGCGAGCGTGGAGGTGGGGATGAAGGGCCCGGTAGCGGGCAGGTACTGTAAGAACAAATGTCGTCGGTGACGGTTGGTCAGCGGAGGATTCTGGACGTACGGGGACCGCGATGCCGACGACGCCTTCGATGATGTCGGGCCGCCGCCGGGCGGCTTCGTAGCAGACAGCCGAGCCCCAGTCGTGTCTGCGAAGAGGGAGCCAGATGCCTCAGGGAAACGTTCACACCACGGGTCCAGAAGAACGATGTACCCGACGCAGATCGCTTTGTCGACGTTCGCATGCTCAAGCACGCACGCGAGGTCGCCGACGAGGTCGACCATATTTCCGGACGACTTCACGTCATCGGGGTGCGTTGACGAGCCGAAGCCGCGCTGGTCCACGGCCAGCACCCGGTATTCTTCCTGGGCCGCGAGAGAGCATGTGAGCATCGCGCCTCTCTGCCTTCACTTGCAATGCACACCTGGAAGGCTTCAATCTGGTACGACCAGGTGCTCCACAGACCTGGCCATCCGTGCACCATCAGCAACGTCCGCTTTGCTTTCGGGTTGAGGTCGACGTAGTCTGCGTTCGCGATCAGAGACTCAGAGGACTGGTACCCATGGACCCCCCTGAAATCGAGCACGTACGAATGTCGATCTCCACGTCCCTGCCCTCCGCCCGATTGACGCTCGGACACTTCGCTACCTCTTTTGCATGTCCGCGCGGGTCGAACCGGGCCTCGCCCAGGCATGCTAGACCCAACATTAACAGCGCCAGCACCGACGAGATCTTCAAGCCACGAAAAGTCAACATGGCCGTGGGGTGCGTGAGGATATGCAGGTGGAGTACGCACTTCGCGGGCCTGCCATTCTTATTTTATGCGCCGGGTATACGCTGTCCCTCCCCCAGCTGTCCGGAGATGGAGATGGCCCAGTCCAACAACGTCGTGTCGGAGGCGAGACACAGCCGCAACATCTAACTCCGAGTGATCCGTCGCGTTCGTGCTCCGGCCTTTTGCTGGTCCGGGGTCAGCGACGGTCTGATAGGAAGCTTTCTTCGCGGTCCTTTGATACTGCGATAGCGGGAACGGCTCGCTTGAGACAGGAGAGAGAGAGGGATTTACGCATATTAACCTATCAGAAGCCCTATTGGCGATATACGGTATCGAACGTGAGCGCATGAGTGCGGTAGCTATGGAGTACATTGATGGTAGACGTGTTCAGCAGCCTTGACGAAGTAACGAACGGAGGAAAAAAAACACGGAGGTCATCGTAAAGCGGGATGGTGCGTCCGGAGAGGGCGACTTGCCGCGGGTCGGTCAGTCGACGTCGTTCATACCGCCGAAATCGCTGCGGGTGATCGGGATCAACGGTGGCGGGTCGTCCTCGCCGTCGGGGCCGGCGGAAGAGGGTCCAAACGCGGGAGGAGCGGACGACGTCGTTTTCCGCTTCTTCTCGGCGCGGATCTGTGCCCTCTTCCGCTGCGTCTTCACGAAGACCGCGAGCCCGTCGAGCGCATCGCAGATGTAGTGCTTGCTCGGCCGGTCCGCCAACCTGTTACGGGAATCGGCATAAGCGTTACAACTCGGCCACAACGAACCCGTGTTCGACTCACCTCCCGATCATCTCGTCCACGATATCCTGCCCCCGCAAGAACGGCATCGTCTCGATCAGCTCCTTATAAATCTTCATCAGCACCGCCGGCCCCCCGCCCAACCCAAGTGCCATCCCCGTATCCACCCACCCCTCGAATCTCTCCTTCAACCTCGGCCTAAACTCCTCCCTCAGATCCTCCAGATCCGGATCGTCCCTGTCCACGTCCAAATACCCCATCGGATCCTGCTCGCTCATCTCGTCCGCGAGCGCCGCGCCGAGCGGGAACCCCATCATCATCGCCGCGAGCGCCATCGGGTTCGTCGGCGCGCCGGGCGTGACCACGGCGTCGACGTACGCCGTCACCCGCTCCGCGCGCGCCGCGCTCCCCGCGCGCAGACGCAGGATCTGCTGCACCTCGTCCGCCGCCGCCGCGTCGCCGAGGTGGCAGAACGCGCCCCGCAGCGCGCCCCGTATCGCCTGCGCCGCGTCGCGCAGCTCCCTCTCGAGCAGCGCCAGCGCCCGCGCGGAGTGCGCCGGGGAGAGCGCCATCGCGAGCGCGGCCGCCTGCAGCGACCGCGCGTCGCGCGGGCGGAGCAGCGCCGCGTTGGCGTCGAGGTGCGCGGCGATGTCGACCGGCCGGTCTTGCAGGGCGTAGATGTCGAGCGCGGCCGCGGCGGCTTCGGAGGAGGTCGATTGGAGCGGGCGTAGGATGGCGAGCAGCTGGCCCTCGGCGTGCTTGTAGTACTCGGCGATGCCGGTGAGGCACTTGAAGAGCCGCGCGGAGGGCACGGTGGAGAAGACTTTGGTGAGGTGCGTCCGGACGAGCGTGCGGAGGGGTACTATTTGCGCGTTGATATGTCGCGGCCAGTGGTCGGCGTGATACGGGCAGCCGCACGGGCCCTCTTCGTCTTCGTCTTCAGAGTCGAACTCCGAGTCGCTGCCGAAGTCCTGGCAATCAAAGCCGTATTCGTCGTCTTCCTCGTCCTCATCCTCTTCGTCGCCGTCAAACACTGCAATCGGCGAGTTTCAGCAGACAAATGAGGTGGACTATGAGGTAGGCTCACTTCGCTTGCCGCCGTAGAGCACCTTCTCAACGGCGGGCCAGCCGAGAATCAGCTCGATGTCGGCGAGCATCTCCGGGATGGCTTTGGCGACGCGAGGCTTGTTGAGGGCAAGCATTGTGAGGAACATATCCCGCCAGATCCATAGGAGGACGTTCTCGATCTGGTGCGCGCCGTTAAGCTCGAACGCGCGCACGAGCCTCCCTTTTCGCGTCTTGATCGTTATCGGGACGAACATGTTCGTGAACGAGCATTTACACCTGCGTCGTCTCGTTCAGTAAGCATACACTCGGAATAGAAACGGAGACGCGGCCCACGCACCCCCCGCGCGAGTTCGCGATGTGATCGAGCACGTCCGCGGCGAACAACAAACACCCGTGCGCCTGCGCAAAGTTCGTCTTGTGCTCGTACGCGACGCTCCAGACCTTGTTCAGCCACTCGACGAGGCTATTCACGACCTCGGACAGGATCTCCTCCTTGTTCGACCGGTCGCGGACGAAGGACCGCTTCGCGTCGCGCTCGAGCTCGTCCAGGAGATCGTTTACTTCGTTCTTCTTCGCGCGGATATCGAGCGTCGGCACCTTCGTCGCGCGTGCTTGCGCGCGACGCGCACCGGTGAGAACCTTGCGCGCCCGCTCGCGGGGGACATGGTTGAGGAGCGGGAGGAGGTGCTGCTCGACCAGCGCCTGCTGCGCGCTCGGGGGAAGCGAATCGTAGATCTGTTGGAATCTGGGGGCGGCGTTCATTTCGTGTTCGTCGTACGGGGCGACGAGGAGGATACGGTTTACTCACTTTGCGCTGCGCGATTGCTCGCTCGCCATCGCGGACAGGGAGCTCACTGGCGGTGGGAACGGAGACAAAGGTCCGTGGGAAACTGGTCTCGGCTGTCTGCGCGGCATCGCGTAATTTTGGACCGTGCCAGTGATCAGGACTCTCTGTTGTATTCCGCGTTCTGGCTCTCGAGGACGATCTTCACTCAGTCAATTTAATTTTCAACGCATGTTCCCAGTTGCTGAGCGACGAAATGTGATCCTCTGTTGGGAAGTATCCATACATCTACCGCGACGTCCGACCGTACCACGTCTTGTGGCCATCGACGGCTTCGACAAATGATGACGAGAAGTTCGTATCTCCCCTTTATGATCTCCGAGTGCTAAAGCTGCACCACTCTTCAGATACTTGTCAAACATTGTCGGCTCGTTGTTCAGTGATGAATGGTCAGACCTCAACCTAGCACAACTCGCATCACTCTCGACGATGATTGACCGCTTTGGATGCCAATAAAAATACCTCCGCGGAGGATACAGCTCCTCATGACTGACGCTGGATTGAACGAGCGTGACCCCCATGTCCCGTTTCTCAAATTGGAGATGGCGCATGCTTTCTGGATCAGCAGGGGACTCCTCAGAGATTACATCCGCATGGAGTGGACCAGCGCTTCATGTATGTCTACACTGTTTGACTAGAGAGCTTTCAATCTCGATATATATTGAGATTTTGATATCCTGTGGCCAAAACGCGCGCCAAATCGAGCGATTTGGATACGAAACCTCGATATATATCGGTTTTGAAAGCTGTCTACTGCGACCCCATGGCAATCCTGAAGAATAAACGTCATTTGATCACCATCATGAGACACTACGCCGCCTTCGTTCTCGCTCCTGATCGAAGGGTTGGCCAAATTGGCATCTTTTGTCGGTTCAATACGGTCTGGGTCGCTCAATAGAGAGCTTTCAATTTCGATATCGAGATTTTGATATCCTGTGGCCAAAACGCGCGCCAAATCGAGCGATTTGAATACGAAATCTCGATATATATCGATTTTGAAAGCTGTCTAATGAAGGCCGACGGGCGATGCCCGTGTTTCCACAACAGTAAAGCGAGTGACTCAGCGGCGACCGATGACTCCTTCTGCTGGCGGCTAGGTATGCGTGCTGGAGAATCCATTGAGCAGGCCTGCTTGACACGCACAGGTTACGGCGGAGATGAGGCGGCCTCGATCATGGCGAAGACTGCCCCCGCATACCACTCATGCCATGGGCGTCGATTGAAGAAGGGCTTCTTTGTTATGTTTTCTCTCTCGTGGTCCGCCTTCTACTTTTGCAATCTAACTCGTCGTTCTGTGGCGCCGCTTCGAGATTTCCCGACAGATCCCGAGCAAACACCCATTTACCATGTTGGACCAGCTCGCTTGATATCACCTCCCCGTTTGTATACCTATCCACCAATCGTCACCATCCAACAATGATGCGGATTGTATGCGAGCCCAGATATGTCGTCCGTTGACATAATTCGAAAAGTTTCATTGATTCAGTGTCGAAACACGGAGGTCCTCTTCGCTCTCGATGTTAAATACCCGGGGAGGAGACCGCACTTATAGTCGACTCCGTCGTTAACAATGGCTACCTCTGATGTGCACATCATCCCGCTCGGACGCTTTGATACTGCTAACCCAACCAACGGTGTCATCACAGTCATCGGTTGGCTGGTCGACACTCCTCTTGACGAAAACAAACTAGAGCGCGCGTGGTACAAGCTGAACGCCGCGTGGCCTATACTGTCCGCGCGATTAAAGACCAATCGACGTGTATGTCATGTTGCACAACTTCTCTCGCATACCGAATGTGAGCATGACGATGATGTAGACAGGTCAATGGGAATTTCACGTACCCTCGCCATCCATCGCGGGCTCTTCAGCATGTGCCTTCACCACGTCCGTCGTACCCGGGTCGCTCGCATCCCACTACAACTACCCTAAACCGTCGGAGACCATCTCTTGCGTGTCGACAGAAATGCCGCACGAGTATTACTCCCATCCTTCGAGGTGCTCCGCGAAAGCGCTGTTGAACAAGGACGTCCCCGTCGCGGCTCTTCACGTCACCCGCTTCGATGACGCCAGCATCGTCGGTATCTCGATATCGCATGCGCTAGCAGACGGAGCAGGCACCAAGGAGGTCATGTCCGCGCTACTTCGGATTCTTCGTGGCGAGGAGGTGGAACCGTTGATCACACAGGACGCGTTTGCGACGTACAAGTCGGATAGCAACGTCCCTGCGCCCGAAGGGCTCAGGATATTCAGCATGTTCCATATGATCGTCGCTCTGTTCTTCGTATTTTGGGACTGGATTCGGAGTCCGAGGACAAGATTCCGTCTGTTGTATATACCCGCGAAGGAGCTGGCGCACATCAAGAAGCGTGCTATGGAGGAGATCTCATCCGAGCGCGGCGACCAGGATGAGAAGGGCAGTCCATGGATCAGTACGAGCGATGCGGTGTTTGCGTTCCTGCTAAAGGTTCTCAGCCTTTTCCGTGTTAAGCGTGATGTACCACTAACCCGACATCTTTCAGTGCGTATTCGCTTCCGAGAAACGGTCCAGGTCTCTGAGCATCGCGTATATGGCCAACATCCGTAAACACCTCCCGTCCGTCATCCCATCCACATACATCCGCAACGCCACCATGGTCATCCCCGTCTCGCTTCCCTCCGCGTCGTCCATACCGTCCACTTCCATGGGTTCGATCGCCCTCGCGGTGCGCCACCGTCTGCAGTCGTACAGCCGGCCCGCCGCTGTCGACCAGTACGTCCAGTGGCGTCTCGCCCACCCGCACAAGATTCCGATGTTCATGGAACCCGCCGGGCTGTGGATGGCGATGACGAACTGGCGTGAGATGGGCTTCATGCACTTCGACTGGACGCCCGCCGCGGTCGATCCTAGGGTGGAAAAGGCGAAGTGCTTGTACTTGCACGCGTTCGGGTACACGGATTTCCAGCTGCGCAACTCATTCTTGATCGGGCCTGACGATCCGTCCGGGGGGTTGTGGGTGCTGGGCAGTTTATCCAAGGCGGTGTGGGAGGACAGGAATGGATTTGGGAAGTACTGGACGAGATGACGTAGAGAACATGGTATACGCATCCATTATATACTGCTGGTCTCACTTTTGAGAGAGACACAAAGGTGTGGCCCATCGGGTGACCGAATTCGAGCTCCGCTTAAAAGCCTTCGTTTCCCGCACATTTGAAATTGCTTCATCTACCGTAATAATGACTACTCATAACACTCGCTTTCAGGAGCCCGCGCATTTTCCTGCTCTCTGGCGAAGGTCTTTGCTCTACTCAAAGTAACGGCGGCTCTATACATTTTGTCCCATCGATCGCGCTCAGGAGAGCGGGTGCTATAACTCCGTAGGCGAAACAGGCGCACAGGAGATCCGCACAACACAGGTGCCAATGGATGCTCTCCACTCATGGATTTGTCGATCGCGATCTGTCTGACAGGAAATCTATGACCCCGGACGACGTTATCGGGGGTCAGTACCGCACGGGTTAAGGTGAACGGACACGATGGAATATAAGCCTATCTTCTGATGTTGTCAATCAGGTGTCGGTCATTTCACAACTGTCAGCCAGGGTCATATACGATTGTCGCGCACGGCATGGACACTGAACAACGCTAGTTCGATGGCGGCCTTGGTATGCAGATAATACCTTACTTTTAAAGGCGAGAGAAGCAGGAATGAGTTACTGAAGATATCATATGGACAGCTGCATATCACAAAGCGTATGGGTCGTGATCCGATCGAAAGGCTGTATACTCGTAGCCGGCCATCAATCTTCGATGTCGGGACGAAACGCCTCAATATTTGCGCATGTACCAGTTTCCATATCCTCCGAGTGCGCGGTTTATTTTTGGTGTCGATGAGTTATTTCGGGCCTGTGGCTTCAGGACCGATATCACCGCTCTGCGTCCTCACGCATACCGGGGTTACGGTCAGGCCGGCGCACTGTCCACGCTGACCATTGTCACAATATCAACTCTTAGATGCGAAAGGATTCTTCAGAATCGTTTAGTGGTGGACTCGGCCCGCAACTTGGCGGCAGCAGATGTAGATGGTCTGTCTGACGCTCCATGGATTCCTTCTGGTATCTTTGTGAGTTTTCAGCTCACTATGATAACTGTCGCACAACGCCCGAAAGACCCGTCCTACTCTATCTTAGACCCACTCAATATGCGCGACGTTTTGACCTTATCCGACGAACACGCGCAATCGGTGACATTTTGATCTATTTCTTGCGGAACTTTCAACTAAGCTCGCTGTTCGCGGACTCCATGCAACAGCTCCGGCGGTGCATCCGCACCGACGCCTCAGGTGTCTCGCAGTGTGGGTTTTGCCCGCTGGGTATGCCGCATCGCTAAAAATCGCGGCGTGCAAGGCGCTGGAGCCTCACCCACTCTGCGAAGCTTGGCCACCTGCTGCTATGATCGCCCCTGTAGCCCAGATTATTCCTCTCGGGCGCTTCGATGCAACCAATCCGACTAACAACATTATCACCAATACTGGATGGCTCATCGACACCGTCCTCGACGAAGGCAAACTGGAACGGGCGTGGTCGCGGTTGAATGCCGTCTGGCCCATATTGTCCGCGAGGCTCAAGACCAACAATCTTGTGAGTACTTGACCAACTCTTGCCGATATCCCTATTGACTGGTATCCTAGACAGGAGAACTGGAATTTCACGTACCCGAGCAGTCCGCGCTCAACTCGGCGTACGGATTCACAACGTGCGTCTTACGCGGGCCTTTAACCTCTCACTGCAACTACCCGAGGCCTACGGAAGTCATCTCGTGCATGCCCATCGACTTACCCGAGCACCACTACACCCATCCCTCCCGCTGTTCCCACAAGGCCCTGCTGAACAAGGACGTCCCAGTGGCTGCAATTCATGTTACCCGCTTCGATGACGCGACCGCCATTGGACTATCCATCTCGCACGCCCTGGTCGACGGTGGCGGCAGGAAGAAGGTCATGTCCGCATTCCTCAGCATACTTCGGGGCGAGGAGGTAGCCCCGTTGGCCACGCACGACGCGTTCATCACGTACTAAGCCCACGAAAGTGTCTCGCCTCCCGCTGGCTTCAGGGTATTCGGCTTCTTTCATTGGGTGGTTTTCATTCTTGCCACCGTGTGGGAATGGCTCCGCTGCCCTAGAGGCGGCTATCGCGTCATCTACATCCCGGCCAAGGAAACTGCACGACTAAAAGATCAAGCGATGGCAGATATCGCTTCCGAGTGTCCTGGAGAGGAGAAAGCCTGGGTCAGCACGAGCGATGCGGTCGTTGCCTTCATCCTCAAGGTGCAGCATTTACAGTTCATTTCAGCATATTCATGGTATTGACGCACCGCTGTTCGTCAGTGCATGTTCGCGTCCGAGAGGAGACATAAACCGCTGGGCATCGCTTACATGGCCAATGTCCGCAAATACTTGCCCTCCGTTATTCCACCCACCTATATCCGCAATGCCAACATGGTCGTGCCGATGTCGATTGCCGACGCCTCGTCGATATCCTCCGCGTCGCTCGGCTCCCTCGCGCTCGTCGTCCGACGCACGCTCCAGTCGCGGATACAGCCTGCCGCCGTGGACCAGTACGTCCAGTGGCGCCTCGCGCGCCCCAATGACATGCCGATGTTCACCGAGCCCAATGGCCTGTGGGCGGCGTTCACAAATTGGCGCGAGATGGGCTACCTCCACTTCGATTGGTCGCCGGCGGCGCTCAACCCCGGCACACGGAAGGCCAAGTGCTTGTATCTGCACTCGTTCGGGCACACCAGGGTGAAGCTCCGGAACTCTTTCATCGTTGGTCCCGACGATCCGTCTGGTGGGATATGGGTCCTGGGTACGTTGTCGGAAGCCCAATGGGAAGACCAGAATGGATTCGGTAAATACGCGCGCTGAAGCCTGAATCCGAATCGTCGTGGTTGGATGACTTGGCTTGTAGTTCTTCGCCTACGTCCATCTTAGCTTAATGTCGGCGTACGCCTGCCGTAAATAATAAAGGGATATTGTGTCAATCTGCTAACTCTTTTGGAAGGATGTGGCCGTGATTGGGTACGGGTTCAGGGTAGGCGCGGTTAACTTTCGAACCGGGGACGCCCAACTCTCCTCTTCGACCTGAATACACTTGGCTCATCATCTCAAGTTCTATCACACCTAGCGAACTAATGAGACAACGATAGATCATTTCATTTGCGCTGGTACCAGGTCTGTTCCGGATCTCTGACAACCTTTCCGCTTCTCCGAGCGGCTTTCCCGTGTCCCGGTCACCCGGGCGAAGCATCTCCGCACCATCTGCTGGAACCCCCTGCCTCTTCAAGATTATCCGACTCCAGTACAAGGCTAACTGTTCCGCCTTCCGGACTAGTTCTGCTTGCAGCTTTCGCGCGCTTACGCGCTGACGCCATATATAAAAGCCGTCACCGACGCCTGGCTGTCCAACATCTCCCACTGACATTTCGCACAGCCGCCCGCCAACACCTCAAATCTCGAACTTGCCTGCACTGTTCTAACCTCGATCATCATCAGTATTGGGTTCCTCAGCTCCCCGCACAACCTAGGCTCTACACAATCTACGCACGCCTCGCCAAGTCGACCGACGCCGCCTGCGACCCAAGACCCGTTCGTGGCGCCCTCGATAGCAACGCGACGCGCTGCTCTAAGCAACCTACATCGACCTCCACAACCTAGACGATCACACGAAAGCCTCATAGAGCTCACCGTACGTCCCGATCGTCCTCGTGAGTTACTTCCGCTCCTATCTTCTCTTTGGCCGCTGACGATCAATTTTTCAGTTACACACCTCTACTCCACACGAAGCTAACATATAACGCAACCATGTTCACCTCGTCCTCCATCATCGACCTCACCGTTCCTCTTGCGCCGCGACTACCCTCCATCGCCCGATTTGACGACGACACCGTGCCCTTCCTCCCTCCTGGGCTTCAGACCGAAGTTGATAGCGTCGCTCCGGGCACTCGTGCGCGATTAGGTCGTGCCCCTATTGGCCTCGGCATCGCCGGCGTATCACTCTCCGGCGAGACCGTGATCTCTGACGAGGAAGATGAACGGGGTTCCGAAGCGTACTCTGCTCTGTCATTGTGTCCAACCACGAAGTCAGCCGAGGTGATCTTCAATCCGATCGACGGCGATGCGGTCGTGCTCTTTCCTCAACTAGCAAAGTACTGCCTACCGCTTGACGAAGATGCCCTCTACCAAGGGTTTATGCCAACCCCCAAACCGCCGTCATACATCAGCCCCGACATCGCCTTGGCATGTCCCGCGTTGACTACCAACATTGGACTGGGTATTAGCGGCATTGACGTCGGCCCGCCGACACAGGACTTAATGGACATCACCATTTCGTCCGTCGACGGACTCACGCCTTCAACTCCTCCCCGCGCCCCGCGCCTACCCTCCATCTCCGCCTTCCCTTCCTCGCCGTCGCCATCGTTTGAATCCTTCCCTGCATTTCCCACGTTTGACTCTCAGACGTTGTGGAGCGCGCCATCCTTCGGCGGATCGTGGTCCTCGAGTCTGGCGGACGAGGATCACGAATGGTCGCGGTCGTTCTCGGTCGGACCTGTTACTCCACCTCACAGCTTCGCTCGGGGACCTACGGTGGGACTCGGCATTGTGGGCGTCGACTCTCCGCTGGACGACGCGGATGCTGCGCGGGCGGATGAAGTTGGCGTGTTTCCGGGAATGGCGGATCGGTTGGAGAAGGTTAGATTCCAGTCGATGCCAGAAGAAGCGGGTTCTCCGGTTCCACGCTTCCGTCAATCGACTCGTGAATAGAGGGCTGCTTGTATAGTACCGTATGAGCGCCCAAAGGACATGCGGTATATGGAAACATTGGTGTTCAGGACTATATCTACCAACGCACTACCTGGGTCTCCGAGTCTCACAGACAACCAGCTTGCCCTCCAAGCCAGGAGAGCGCTGATTCCCAGGAAGGAGGAAAGGACATTAGATCCTCTTTCCGGAGTCCTGCTAGACGCATGAAATACGTCGTAGGGCCGTGATAACTGATGACCAACTCTGCGACTACATGTCCGCCACCCTCTTCACGTCCTTTTTCTCGCGAAGTCCTCGCCGGTGCTCGTCCCGGTGCGCATTGCTGCGCCAGAACCTAAAATGGGCATCGTCGTACTTCTCGTTCCCAAACAACGGTATCCATTTCGGAGGGGGGTTTGAAGAAGCGTGCTGTCTGAACCACCGCTCGATTACATCCGCCGAAGCTCCAAGATGCTGGAGGAGCATCAAAGGGCTGAGCATGATATCAGAAACACCTCGCGTTGCGAGATTGACATGCTAACACTCACTGAACTATATCACAATTTGAATCGTAGCACTCGGTGGCCCGAGCGCAGTCGAAATCCAGTATCAATAGGGCTGACCAAGGATCTTGATTGGGGCTCTGCCTCAACAGCATAAGATTACGAGGGAGGAGGTCGCCATGCATGACTCCAAGCGACTGCATGTGGTAGAGTCTCTCCTCGAGGACAGTAGCCTATCGCAGAAACTTAATGAGTACAGAAGTCGAAACGAATCCGGCCACGGACCATGTCAAAGATGCCGTAGTTAGGACCCAGGCGTTGAGCAACAATGTCTCCCGTGAGATTCGACATGACCATTCCATCCAGGTATTCGAGAACATGTGCGACTGCCACTTCGCCACCGGGCATACGGATCTATAATGCCATTGAGATGGTTTCATCACTGTATTCATACCGGCAACAACCTTGTAGAAACCGAGCGAATGAGGTATCCACGCCCCTGTGAAACGTATCACTTGGAGGTTCAATGGAGGATATGCGCATGATATTGAGCATACCTTGCAAAGATACCAGCTTACGGTATGCCCAAGCCTCTACGGCGGCATCCTGCCGGGCAGAGCGCCAGAGGGCAGGCCATGCAGCGTCCTCGTCGAAGTATTCCGGATCGGGTAGTTTGCATAGGCTCTGCTGAAATATCTTGACACAGACATTACGAGGTGCGCTCTTTCTGACGGTCATTACGGCCTTGTACACCTGCGAATGAGTGTCGACCTTGGCTCTGAGAGATTTCTGCAGTATGATGGATACATCATCCGGCTGCGCGATGAGTAACTGGTTCCTGTTAAATGTTTGGAACCGGTACGCCATTTCCGGATGTCGGTCGTCCTCGTTCGAGCACGATAACTGCCAGATAGCTTTGGTATCCAGCACGTGAGGCAACGTCTCCCAGAGTGGTTTTGCAAGGGCGGCTATACGACGACGCTCTAGTGTGTCTATATAGCGCAAGCCGCTCTGATAGTCCTGAGGAGAGTTCTGATCAAGGAAGAACTCCTCTCGAGGAAGGTTGTTGAATGCATGTTCAACGTCGGGATGGACGTACATGTTAGAGGCAGGAAAAGAAGCTGTGTGGCGCGGCCTCGACGTGCGTGCCCGTCCGTAATCCAGCTCTCTTCGGTGGGCACTCCGTCACGGTCGTGCTTGGATACCTCACCTGATTTCGCCGTTCGACTCTCACATGCTGCGCGATCCTTGGGTGAACCTCAGTCCTCGATTTTACGGAACAGGAGTACGAATGACGTCGGTCTTGCTCAATGACCCTGCTACGCTAGCGAGCCTTGGATCTGAACTGCGTACTAGCAGAGGGGCCTTCGATGAGACGGTGACTCGGGGCGCGCGTCTGTCCTGCGTCAGCCGGCTGCATCGCGAATGCAAAGGAGAAAGGGCCGTCGTTGCTCGTAGCTGCTCAGATTTGTCATTAAATTGTTGATGATTACTCGATCCCATGTCCAATACGCTCTTAATATCCTTCTTCTCGCGAAGTCCTTGTTGATACTCTTGCCAATGCACATCGTTGAGCCACACTCTAAACTCAGCATCATCGAATTTCTCGTTCGCGAACATCGTGAGCCATCCGGGGCGGGGGTTTGAGGAAGCGTGCTGCCTAAACTATCGTTCTATGTCGTCCGCCGAGGCTCCAAAATGCTGGAGGAGTATCAAAGGGCTGAGGGCAGGTCAGCATCACGTCGAGTATCAAAACCAACAAGTAAATAATCACAGGACGACATCGCAGTGTGCATTATAGCGCTCAGTGGCTTTAGCGAAGTTGAAATCGAGTGTCACCAAGGCCGATAAAGGATGTTCGTTGAGGCACTGCCTTAACAGCATAATATTGTGTGGGAGGAGATCACCGTGCATGACTCCAAGCGTCTGCATGTGAAAAATCCTTTCCTCAAGAACAGTCGCCTGAAGGCACGATGAGAACTTGTATTCGATAAGGCGTCGACCACGCACCATGTCGAAGATGTTGCACTCTTGACCTAGACGCTGCGCAACGCCGGCTCCGGTGAGGTTTGAAATGACGATTCCGTCAACGTACTCCATAACATGCGCAATTGCGATCTCGCCCCTGGGCATGCGTATCTACGAGGATATCAGCATATTGAATAATTGTACTGGTAGTGGATGTATAACTTTATAGAAACCGAATGAATGAGGTATTCATGCCCCTATGTGTAGGTATCAGCGCCTAATATTCGATATTACTCCAAGAGGTGAACAGACATACCCTGCAAGGATTTCAGCTTACGGTACGCCCAAGCCTCTACGGTTGCATTTTGCCGAGCAGAGCGCCACAAGCTCGGCCAGGAAGCTGCCTCGTCGAAATATTCCGCATCGGGCATTTTACAGAGGCTCTGCTGAGATATCTTCACACAGACATCGCGAGGTGCTCCCTTCCTGACACTCATCACGGCCTTGTAAACCTGCGAGTGAGTTTCGACCTTGGTCCTGAGGGCCTTCTGTAAGGTAATGGATATATCGTCTGGCCGCGCGGTGAGCAGCTGGGTCCTGTTGAATGCCTGAGGCCGATAGGATAACACAGAGTCTCGATCATCTTTGATTGTGCACGACAACTGCCAAACAGCTTTGGTATCGAGAACGTAAGGCAACGCCTGCCAGAGTGGTTCTTCGAGGGCAGCATTACGGCGACATTCCAGTCTGTCTATGTAGCGCAGGCCACTCTGATAATCTTCGGGGATGTTCTGATCCAGGAAGAACTTCTCGCGAGGCAGGTTGTCTATGGCATGTTGAATGTCGGAATGGATGTCCATGTTAGAGGGAGGGAAAGAAGCTGTGTGGCGCGGCCTCGACGTAGCGAATCCACGCTGGAGTTCTCCGCGGCTTGGACAATCGGGCGCACCTAGTTGATCCGATGCACTCATGAGTCCCATCAATACAATGCACCGTGTGCGAGCATCAGCTACCAGATAATTGAAGTCGGGACAAAGGATAGATGTTCTCAACTGGGATGATCCGTCATACATTCGATTTGAGCTATCCTCCGACTGATAGCGGGTACGAGGTCTCGTGCACTGACTCGAAGCTATTTTGATGAGACAATCATTCCATTTATGAGCTGTACATCAACAAATGTCCAATAGCACCATAAGCCATTGCACTTGACTCCGGAAGTTGCTCATGAAGTCATACTAATAGCGACTCGAGCCGACGTTGCAGGTGCCGGCGACACGTGCAACTTCTCATAGCACAGCCTCCATGATGCCATATGCAGCGAAGATCGGCGCATTTTTGGTTTCGATACGGTCATCAGCCTGCCGCCCTCCCGCATCTTTCATCTTCATCCTTTGGCGCGTACCTTGCTCACTACCGTAACTCGCAGGATGTCGTCTGATCAAGGTATGCCAAGCACTACACGTTTCAAGTCCATCGAATCTCAATATCATAGTCCAAATCGGTGTCATCGGCGGCAGCGGGTTGTACCATCTCGACAACCTCACGTTCATGTAAGAACTCGTTGTCGCGGGCGAATACGGCCTGAACGAATACCTCATCAGAAAACATGTCAACCCGGAGACGGTGCGTCGCTTACGTGTCCATGTCGCTCAGACCCTCCTCATTGACCTTCGCCAACCCAGCCCTGGGGCTTCCCATCATCCCCGATCAGCATCTGTTCTCTACCCTCGGGCGCTCGCGTTGCCTTCCTCGCACGCCACGGAACTGGCCACAGCATCAACCCCTCCGCCGTCCCCGCCCGCGCGAACATCGCCGCGCTCAAGTCGCTCGGCGCGCACACCGTGCTCGCCTTCTCTGCCGTCGGCTCGCTCCGTGAGGAGATTGCGCCGGGCGACTTCGTCCTGCCCACGCAGATCGTAGATCGCACCAAGGGCGTTCGCCCCGCGAGTTTTTTCGAGGGCACGAGCGTCGTCGCCCACGCCGCGTTCGGCGATCCGTTCTCGACCAAGCTAGTTCAGTGGCTCGAGCGCGAGGTTGCGAAGGCGCTCGAAGGTCGCGGCGTTAAGCTGCACACGGACAAGACGATCGTCTGCATGGAGGGCCCGCAGTTCTCGACGAGGGCGGAAAGCATCCTGTACAGGAACTGGGGATGCGACATCATCAACATGAGCGTGCTCCCGGAGGCGAAGCTGGCTCGCGAGGCCGAATTGGCGTACGTCTCTACCAACTACTTCGGCATTAATGTCTGACTCGGGTATATCCAGATACGCTTTGATTGCCACCGCGACCGACTACGATGCCTGGCGCCCGCACGAAGAGACCGTTACTGCCGCCGAGGTGTTCAAGACGCTGAAGACCAATGCCGAAACTTCTCGCCATGTCGCAGCCACCATCTTAGAGGTTGGTCTTCGCTCCTGGCACTTTCGCTAATCACGCTGATAGCGCTGTTCAGGATCTGCATGCCGCGGACTTCCTCAAGGACGAGGTCGGATCAATGAAGTTTTCCATCATGCCTCGCAGCGAAGCGCAAAAGGATGAAGATCGACAGAAGCTGGCATACGTTTTGCCCGACTACTTCAGCTAAGCTGATACTATCGCACGTGCAGACTATGTACATACTAGAATTCCATTCACATTGCGTTCGGACTATCGGATAAAGTACTATGATCGTGCCTACACCAGCGAACGACCACAGTTTTGATCATCTGGGTTTGTTCGGACCATCTGGATTTGTTCGGACGCCACCGGCCTCTCGTCCGAGCGCCAGCAGCGCTAATCAGCGCCCACATATTGACCTGCTGCTCAACCCGTTTTGCAGGATCGATACAAAATAGCACTCGTTCTGCGCGACATTGGCACAAAACACGTAGTCACCCACTAAAACGTTTTTTGACATCATACTATGCTAATACTCAATCGATGTATACTGCTGTCGTCTCTCGCGACCGCACATTATGATATGCCAATACCGGAAATGTGCGCCCTCTCCTGCTGTCTTACTATCGAACAAAGAAAGCCAGCGAGGGCGCGGATGCGAGGAAGCGTGTTTTGTGTACCATGCCTCGACAAGCCTTATCGGCACGCGGTATCTTCTGAAGAGATCCAGCATACTAGAGCCGCATAAATATCCGCGGTCGAAGTGAGCGAAGAGAGACAGAGAGCTTACCAAAGTGAGTCGCCACGTTCGTTGTCGAAGATTGCATGCACCGGCGCTGCTCGGTTGAAATCGATGATCGCAAGAGAGGACAGAGGTTCCAATCCTCTGGGTTGCGTCAGCAGCATGATGTTATTCGGATTCAAATCTTGGTGCGTGACACCCAGTTCGTGCATGAGAGCTATGTTCTCGAGCAGTTTCTCTACCTGAGAAATGACGAGACAGTGAGAAATAATAAGATTCAGCAGGTACAGGAACTTGCCATGTCAATCACGCGACAACTCAAATGCCGTTCCAGATCATCGCGTCGTTTGAAAGACGACAACGTGACTCCGTTGAGATATTCGAGAATGTGAACAACAGCAGTTTCGCCGTTGGGGAGACGTGCCTACAAGATCATTAGTTGCACGTTGAGCGAATTGTTTGTCGGACTATCACTTCGTAAAAGCCATACGAGCAAGGGATGATCGAGCCTCAAGTAAAAATATGTCATTCTCGTTTCGTGAAAGCTGACGAACGTCATCACATACCTTGGAGGGGAGCAAGTTTACAGTACGCCCAAGCCTCTACACCCGCGTCATGCCGAGCAGTGCGCAATTCAGGGTTGTAACGCTCGTCTTCGTCGAAAGAATCAATGTCCGGTAGCGAGCACATGCTTTGCTGGTATATCTTGATGCAAACCTCTCGAGACTTTCCGGAACCGATACGCAACGATCCCTTGTACACCTGAGAGGTCGTGTCGCGCTTCGCTCGTATCACGTGTTCAAGGGTGAGTGTTGTATCTTGAGGACTAGCGGTCGATAGCTTGTCGATCGAAAAGAGTAGCGGTCGGTACTGCTGATACAGAACTCGGCGAGATGTATCGGGAAGCGAGTGCGTCCAGGTCTTCGTGATGTCGAGAATGCAAGGTAGTGAGCGGCGGAGCGCCTTGGAACAGGTAAGAGATCGGAGGCGTTCCAGTTCCGTGATGTAAAGCAGTCCATTCTGGTAGTCACGGGGAATGTCCTTGTCAACAAAAATCTCGTTCTGAGGGAGAAGATTGATCAGCCGCTCGGCGTATTCGTCGAGGTTCATGATGTGGCGGAACAAGAGAAGGGCGTGGGATGGACCGAGACACCTGTGGGTGTGTGGCAACTGCGTGACGCGTGACTTTGTGTGGGTCGGGCAACGCAGGCAGTGAACTTGAGCCCGTATGATGAAAGCAGCGAGAACACGACAACTCATATTACAAGAAACAACCGAGTCTTGCAGTTAGCTTGAAACTAGGACACGTTAGCTTAAAACTCGGACACGTTTGATTGCAGCAATAAGAGCACAACATCCACGACCCGTGCGTAACGCTGGTAGCTAGGTACATGTAGGGCGTAAAAATGCATGGGAATTCGTTTGACCAATCCGGTCGAAGGGACATAGATCGTTTTGTTTTCCTCTCTTCTTCATCTCTCTTGCTGACGACTACATCTACGCATGTCATCTCTTCACGCAGCTCTCAGCGCACTCCCCAACGGCCCCGAGATCATCGAGGTGCTATATGATCTCTCGAAGGAGGATGTGTCTCATGTGGCGCGCATCATGAAGTTCCTCGTGAAGCACATCGGCAAAGGTCCACACAGTGAAACTAGGGCATCGAGCATCAAGTCCCTGATTGAGACAATTCATCCTCCATCATGGTATCTCCGCGAGCAACTCCGAGAGTGTAGGTCGAACAGGAAGAACGCGAAGGGATATCAGACATCTCGGTCGGCGAGTACCATGGCTTTCGCACAAGATTTGATTGCAATCAAAGACCCTACCTGGCCTCTGGCGGACTTTCGGGAATCTCTTGAAGCTTGGGAGAGGGAATCAGGCCATCTGATGAGCTATAGAGTGGTCGAGGATAAAGGCGCAGTCCTTGAAGGCGATATCAAGTGGGTGTGACCAGCTCATGATACGGCACCGCTTGATATTGATGTCTGCTCGAGGGGATGGACGACCGTAAATGTTCTGGAGCCGGTTGTGGACGTCATGAATAATTGGCTGGATCATTATCTCAAGAAGAACCCTGAGAAACCGAAAGCGCGATTGACGTTCCGAGGCGAATATCAACCGCTCGACAAGACGGACCCCAAGCAGAAGAAATCAAAGCCCAAGAAGAAGAAATTGGACAAGGTGGACCATGCAATCATGCTACACGAGGGCTCAAACGTGCCAGACAAGGACCGGAATTCTCCGGCATTTGATTCAGATGCGACACCCATCGTTCTTTGGGAGGACAAGGTCCATAGAAATTGCATGGATGAAATGCAACGACTAACATCACAATCTAGATTCTCGGCGCGCTTGAAAACGAATTCGAGGCTCACAAGAAGGTGTACCACCATAATCCATCCACATTGCCACTGACGGACACGTTGGGAATGTGTCTCCCGCAAGTTCGCAAGTATGTAACATATCCAGTGACTTCCGTCCCTCATACATCATGCGTTATCGTCGAATTCACAGATATGTGCGCATAAGCGGCGTACCATACATCATACTCGGAGATGGCCGTGTCATAACTGGCATGGTGTGGGGAACGGCAGGCGGAGACGCCGGCCGCACTGCGGGAGCATCTTTCTATCGAAAGTGGGCAGAACAGGACAAAACATCAGAGTTTCTCGGTAAGAAGTCCGACACTTCTGAACGCGGCGAGCATATATGCCATGCTCTGTCAACCTACAGCAAGGCAGCCGACTCCGAAGAGGCAGTTGAGGAGCCGTCTGCCGGGTCTATTCCTACCAGGGAGCTTCTTGCGTTTTTCATATGGATGGCTTTGAGGGATCGCGGATACCTATTGTAGTACCAATGCAATTCTACACGATAACTGTCACGAACTTTCATCGACATCCGTTTCCGGCGCATTTAGTACGGCTGTGTTAGTCCCTGCGAAGGTGAGTCACACCGTTCCGAACTCTCTCACTTCACCTCAGAATTGGTAAGAGATAGCCATCGCGAGCAATTGGCTACTGACATGGACATAGTTTCTATCCTCGAAGCTGAGCACAAGAGCTAAGAAGACGGTCCATTTTGATCGAAATCTCCCGTCACATACCATGCGTGAGTCTAGACTTCCCATACACACTCAATTGAAATCTCTCTCGGGTGTTCAAGAGATCGCTGCGCGTTGATTCTAGAACGTCCCGGGAGGTTTGCATCAAGATCTATCAGCGAAGCCTATGCTCGCTACCGCACACCGACTGTTTCGACGAGGATGAGGGTATCAATCCCGAATTGCGCACCGCTCGTCATAGCGCGGGTGTACTCCCTGTGCGTACTATAAGCTCGCTTCCCTCCAAGGTATGTCATCGTGTTCGTCGGTATTCATTGAATGGATCTGACGTTGATATACTCAAGGCTCTTTCATTCCTTGTTCACTTGGCTTCTACTAAGTGGTTCTCGCGAACGAACATGTCACTAATGATTTCTTAGGCACGCCTCCCAAACGGAGAAATATCTGTTGTTCACTTACTCGAATATCTTAACGGAGTACCGCTGTCGACTATGAAACGACGCGACGATCTAGAACAACGCGTGGGTTGTCGCGTGATTGACATGGTGAATTGTTACTTCCGCCGAGGATCGTTGATTCTCACTCCGCCTCATCGTTGTTCAGGTAGAGAAACTCCTGCAGAAGACTCCTATCTGTCTTCTCGCGCTTGTTCCTGAAGTAAATAAGCACGACCAGATCGCCAAAGGAGGCCTCTTAACGTTCACCATGAGCAGCACCCCCGTTCGCTGGCACTAATCCGACGCACAAGAAAGCAGGATGGCTCATTTCATGAACCTAGCCACGTACCGCGACGCAATATCATATTTCTCAACCAAGAACTTGCGTGATAAGCATCGCCTCGCCAGCGATACTCCTTTATTGCATGAGCGGGTCCCGCCAGTGTTTCTCGGCTATGGCTACGCCGGTCGGTCGACCGATGTCGCAGGTAGAGAGTGAGCGCGTGAATGAGAGTGAAACGGGAGCTAAATATGGAGAGGTCAACTACACTCTCATGCCCGTCAATGTTTACCCACGACAGAAACATCGCTCCCGTACATCAGGAAAAACCGGATTTGCTAAAAGCCTCCTAAAACGTACTAAAACGTGCTCATTGAGTAGTTTTAGAGGGTTTCGGTACCCAATAAACGACTCTTTCGATAGTCCGATTTTTCCTGATGTAGACGCTTCAGATTGCATTCGTCGTTCAGATGAGCTTTGGTACGAGGACGGCAGCATTACGCTGGGACGAAAAGGACCTTGGAACGCTCCGCGCTGCTTCGGATGGATTTAGCGCCGCCAATGGTCCGACAGTTATTTGCCTTGGAGAGTAGACGTGTCGTCTATGGTCGCCTCCACCGAGTGGGATGCGCACAGAAGAGGTGGTGCCGAGAGTGCCAGTACGCAACGGGCGGCTGCGCGTACAAGATGCCGATCGACTGGCCAGCGCGGGGCAGACCCCGGCGGTTAATATGAGACACGAGCTCCGTGGGATCTGCCCAGAATGATTGAGGAAAATGGGGATAGGGCAAGGAGTAAAATGTGGGAGGGTTTTCTCGACAGGTATGTCGCCGGGATTCTCGACCTGTGCCCTAGGATGTCGCAGACACAGTTTTCATTCTCGGACAGAAAAGGCACCAGATGTGGACTTTGGAAATGACGGCCATACTTCTGTATTGCGATCAAAACGGACATACAGAGAATAACACGAATTCACATTGGAGTACATATGGTCGTTTTGAGCTCACGAGTTCGGAGTGAAGGGCTCGGTCGCCCGGTTAGTGACAAAGCTTCTGCAGCAAGTGAAGCCTCAACCCAGTGGACCTTGAGCTGGTCTTGAATGTCGTTCTACCGGTGACGTTGGGTCTTCGAGGAGTTGCTTCATCTGTGATAACAAAAGGAAATGTCAGACTGGAACCATACCAAGTGGAACAGCGGGTAAACCTCTTCAAGCGCTCCGCTGCCCGATGCCACGGTAGAGGTATCCAGTGCAACGCCTTCTGGCCGTGAATCGCTCCCATTTGTCGGTGGTTGTCCCTGCTGCCCGTTGTTCTGAACGTCATAAGACACGATGAGCATCAGGATCCATCCGGTCCGGAGCGATAACGACGAACTTCCTTCCGCTTCTTCCGCGCGGCTTGGTCGAGCCCCTGGCCGGCTGATCCCCCCTGTCCTGCCCCATGTCCGTGTCCATCGTCACGAGGGACTATGTCAATGAGGAAATCGAACTGGTCCGACTTGGCGAGCGCCGTTTGTTCGAATCCGCGACGATGAAGGCTCGTGCGGTTATCTCCGAGATAAAGACTGAAGCAGCAGCTATTATATTATGTCCCAATTGTCTCTGCAGGTAAGCACACTTTCGCAGGCCTTGCAAAACAGGATGGGTGCTAGACTAGGACCATGAGAATCGGCATGGGGTGCGTGGTCGGTCAAAGATACCCACCGTCCGCGGCGATCATCTGCATAGAGTTGGTCACGTATTCCTCTTGTTTCGTTCAATCAGAATAACGGACCTTAACTTCGGGGTCGCTCTTCATAACCTTCTTCATCCGCGCGAGAGGGAGAGCAGGATGCCGGTAATCCCATTCTCCGCGGTGTCCACTTAGCGCTGCCAGAAGTTGCGCAAGAATTCGTGAAGTGGGTCGCCGGATTGTACAAAGGGTTCTGGTGCGTCCGAGGACATCGTTGCCTGTGGTGCTGCGTAGCCAGGTCGAGGTCGTCCGGGCGTTAAGCGCCAGTAAGGGTCACTGTCAGGTGTGCTTCGGCGTGTCACTCACTGATCAGTGTTCAATCGCACTCAGTGTTCTGTCGCATCCACGAGAATATTGCAGCGCCAATTCTTCGCCCGCGTACCAGACGCCATGAACGGCGATGCGATGTTTTACCGATCTCTGCGGCTCTGTGGAATTCAAGATGGCCGTATCTCCCCATGAACGACTTGTGAAGACGGCTGCCCGAATCCGGACGAGATCGATGCTGTTCTTCCGTTAGCTTCTCCGATCTACATCCATACTGAGAGCTCTGAAACGGAAACCTATATTGGGCGTACCGTTCTGCCTGGCCTCGGCGTCAGCATCCGTGCATACCGCAGCTCCCGGTTCTGGTGTGTCTACGGCTGTGTTAATCCCTCCCTAGGCGAGTCACCCCGTTACGTGTTGGAGATAGATGGTTGATGAGCATGCAAGCGGACGCCGTGTCGGCCGTTGCGCGCGCGGCGCGCGCGCCCTCGCGTGGTATGGACTTATCAGGATATGAAAACTTATACTTCCGCCTTCAGATAACCGTCTCCTTTTCGCGAGCACACGTCTCACTTGCTCCCACATCCGAGCAGTGAGACGTGAGTTCATCTATTGCCTGTATCATCAGGAAAAGTATCTCCTGACAATTTCTCAACACTATGCTCAACTTTGTCCCATATGTACATATTCTGTCTTCTTGTGACAAATATGTACATATTAGACATATTGGGGATCTTTGAACTGTTTGTAAAATTAATTAAGTCCCTTGGTGGGCATCAACATATTGTTGCAAATTTGCCACATATGTTCACACAATGCTCACATTTGCTGCATTACTTAACACTTTGCTGCATTTGACACCAGGTATAGCACTCTGTTCTAGTACAAGTCTGCTCAAATAGACAAGATTCATTCAGGCTTACACAGAATTGTGATAATAATCATGCTACTTATACATATGTACCAACACAATCATTAGCATACTTTGTACTCATACTGGTAATAGGTGGGCGGGAGGCCTGGAGGCGAAGCTGAGCACGGCGACGTTGGCGGCTCAGGCTCGGCACTAGGGAAAGGAGGACAGTAGCAAAGGAGGGCAGGAAGGGCGTCCGCGGGTGGGGGAGGCCGCGCCCAGCAAGACTGTGTTGGCAGCTCCCGCGAGAGAGCTGGGCGAGCGGTCGTTGCAGGGAGTGAAACCTTCGCCGAGCGAGACCGTGTTGGCGGCTCTCGCTTGCGGCGGGGCGAAGGCTGGGCGCGAGCGTAGAAAGCTCCGCTGAGCGAGACCGCGTTGGCGGCCCTCGCTCGAGGCTGAGTGAGGGGCGGGGAGGTGGGCGAGAAGGCAGGGAGGCGAGCAAGAAGACAAGGAGGCCGGCGAGAGGCTGGCGGAAGGCGGAGAGATCGGCGAGAAGGCGGCGAGAGGCGGAGAGGCGGGCGAGAGGCCAGTGAGAGGCGGGCGAGAGGGGGGAGAAACAATGAGCCGTGCACTTGCCAGCGCAAGGAGGGCGGTCGGCGCACTTGCCAGCGCCGCGTCCGGCGCATTTGGGAGTGCATGGGCCGGCGCCCTGGCGAGCGCGGTGGGCGGCGCACTTGCGAGCGCAGGGACGGGGCACTTGCGAACGCACTCGCGAGGGCAGTAGGAAGCGCGCTGGTGAGCGCACTTGCGAGCGCGGTGAGCGGCGTACTGGCTATGGGGCGACAAGCGCACTTGCGAGCGCGGCGGGCGGCACGTTGGCAAGCTCAGTGGGCGGCGCGCTGGCGAGCTCAGTGGGCAACGCGCAGGCGAGCGCACTTCGGAGCGCGGTGGGCGGCGCGTTGGCGAGCTCGGTGGGCGGCATGCTGGCGAACGCGGTGGACGGCGCACTTGCGAGCGCGGTGGACGGGTGGGTGGGCGAGCACGATGGGCGGGTGGGTGGACTCGAGTCAAACGGACACGTCATGATACGATCACGTGAAGTACATCACGTGCTGGGTTGTTCGCGTTGAACGCACAAGTCCGTGTTGGCCCCTGTGTCCTGTGTCCCTGCCACTCAGATATATACCACAACTGTATTCATTCTGTAGATAGTCATGGGTATCTAACATCTAATAGTATCTAGAGCTACCAATACTGCTGTTCAAGGCCTGGGCCTGGTTTAAGTCATGGTATTGTGAATTTGGACACCTGCTATCACATTATACAGATGCATCCTATATCATTGGGTGCTATACTGACTGCCCCTATGATATATGTATTAATATAGTTATACAACTGAGTAATCTGTCTCTAACTACCAAACAGGACTATGTAGCAACTGACCAACATCTACATAGCACTTACAGCACACCATAGCAACTAGCCTACTTCTATATAGCACTCACAGTACTGTGATAGTGACCATAGTTCAAAAGGTAGCTATATAGATCCATATTTTTTCAAGATGAAAGTTCTGCATCATTGGACTTCTGGCATGGGATTTGACATTGCTCTACCATTCTTTGTGAACTGCTTCCAGACCACTTTCTCCTACAAGATATTATCTTGACTATCCTAGGTTATAGCTAATAAGTTAGTATGATTAGGTTGCTGTGGAATATCTTACAAAAAACTGAAGACATTTAAAAAACAGCAAACAGAGAACCTATACTACAAGGATGCTGCATACATTACACATCACCTACACACACCACAAACTACCTGCACACAATACACAAAATCTGCACACAGTGTGCATATAGTTACCAACTTGTCACATATGACAAAATTGACCTATTTGTCATGCTAACACTGCATTTGTGCATTTTGCCTTAGGACAGTTTTCCTGATGATACCCTGTACCGAGAGCTAATGTACCGTAGTTACTTATCTACTAGGTACACGAATGCATACTTGCTCCCACATCCGAGCAGTGAGACTTACTTATCTACTAGCTGCTCGTTTCCGTTTGCACTCCGTCCCGTCCCTCGTATACCTCCATTATTACGGACTCTTTGTTTGTCGCTTCCGCGTGCCTCATACTCAGTGACATATTGCCAATGTGAACGTTTTTTCGGCCAGCCTACTGCAAGCCACTATCATGATAGGCAGGTTTTTCCTGCCGAAGGGGTGCACGAGCCCTGGAAAGTCAATCTCTGCTGATCGAACGTCACAGCCGCATATTGGGCGTAAATACAGACTGCTCATGCACGCTAGGCTGGAGCTTCTTTCCTGTTCTGGGCATGGTCACTGAAGAATGACCCGGCAACCGGTCTCGCATGTCGCGATATCCGCTTCAGTGAGAAGGATATGCCATCCCTCCCGTAGCGTCGTCCCCTTGAATCCATGGCGCCGGTTCACCTATCTTTGGTCGCTTGAGTACTTTCATGGCGACTGCCCCAGTATTGTACGCGGTCAAGGGTTCGAGGGTTGGCATATTTGATCACTTTCTAAGGACAGTATAGCACGGCGGAGGAACATTCGACGGTTCGGTGAGGGAGTCGTTGTAATCGCGATTCTCTCACGTAGATCATGATCATGTCATGTGTAGATGTGGACGCCACGCATACCGGATGGAGGACGCCGAGGGACAATAGTCCAACGAGCACGTTAGCGTAAGAGATATTTTTCGTTTATCGGTGGTGACTCGCCGTGGACGTCACCCGTATAGCCTCTAGTTCAGTGCACCTGTAGCTGCATCTCTCAAACACCACAGTTGCCTATCCCTAACGTCTCTCATCGCCGTCGCCACACCGCTCGCCGCTCGCCTTTCGATGCCTCCGACAGCGGCCGAATTCGACAACTGGATCAATAACGGACTCGGAAAAGCACTACGGAGTTCTCTTCAGGATATTGTCAAAGGTCCACAGGCTGTCGAAGCCGTACATGCCATCCTGGAATCCGTCAAAGATGCCAACGGTTCCATATCTTCCACCCGCCTAGATATCATGGATACGCTTCTGACGAAGGAGTCCTACTCGGCGACTAAACTCTTGCAACTTAATCCACTATGCCCGATACCGCGGCCAGTGGAAGGCAAATCAAGTCCCCCTACTCTAGACCAGAACCCTGTTCACCCCGTTAATAATATCGTGCTTCATAAGCCCGAGGTTCAATACGAAAACGCGATCGTGGCCTTCAAGACAAGTCTCGAAAACTTCGATCAGCAAGTGGGGCCACGCTACATTCCTCTTCGACAAATCTTCATTCCACGATTTGCGGCTCTAGAGGGGGACGTTAAGTACGTTCGCACGTACATTGTCACGGGGTTTCTTTGCGCTGATACAACGAATATGTAGCAACTTCACGATATCGTTGATCCTCTATCCTATCACCATCGTGCTCACCGATATGCTGCAGTGGGTTAAAGAGAAGCCCGGAAGTTCGCTGACCTCCGATACTATCGCAATATCCTTCAGAAGCGAAGTGTACGTGGACGAAAGGAGGGATAGCGATGGCACGGTTCAAGAAGATGAACGAGACGATGACGATGACGATGACTATGACGAGGGTGTGTCGTATGTCGTTTTCACTAACACGACACTGACACGATTTACCTCGCTTGTCGAAATCCTCAGATGGTTCTGAAAGTTCCCCGGATGACTCTGAAAGTAAACATTTGCATGCCAACAATCATTGTGTGGATCACATTTGACTTCTATCGTCAGGTACGGAAAGCGGGGAACGTACGCCTACCCTGGAGACATCTCAAGAAACCCTCGCCGGTAATTCACCGTCACTCGTGGGGCTGAACCTTCAACTGATACACCTGTTAGCACTGAGATTGAAGGACGAGGAGGTTCCAACTACTGCAGAGGCATCCTCTCAGGATAGCTCGTCATCCGAGAGTGATGATGGT